CAAGCAGTTAATTCATCCTATCTTTTGCCAATTTTAGATCGAATTTTCATATTCGGTTTAGATCTGTATTTATGATTTTCGATAAAAATGTGGTTTGTAGTTGATTTTCGATATATTGTAGAGTGTAGTTGATTTTTTATACTAATTTTCTCTGAAACCATTTTAGGTATCCGCAACGGCGATCTGAAGTGGTAGAGTGGTAATTGACGGTTGACGCAAGGTATTTGCGTCCTTTCTTCACCTGAGAGTCATTGGAATGCAGAAGTTGGGGAGTGGTTGAGACGATGACGATGGAACAAATCACCCTCACAGCCTTCGGATTCAACACATGGTCGGTGGAGATATAGCCCTTTCTCGATGGATATGCGACTGTAATATCCAGCATCTGGATTGAACTATAGTTGTTTAATCTCTTAAATTGAAATTTTTATTTTATAGTTGATTTAGATAAATTGTAGTTGTTTTCGATTTTTATAGTTGGTTTAGATAATTTTAAAGTTGATTTGATAAATTTTTAGTTGATTTAAATTGGTTATGGTTGATTTTCGTTAATTTGTAGTTGATATAATTTTAGTAAACCAACTATTAAAAATAACTATTTTTTTATGATTGTTGGGTCGAGAAATAAACGAACAAAAAAAATAGTTGTTTTCAGTAATCTAAGTAATCTATAGTTGATTCTCGAAATAGTCAATTTCGAAAATAGTTGATTCGGAAATAGTCGATTTTGGAAATAGTTGATTTCGAAAATTTTATAGTTGTTTTCGGAATTTTATAATCGATATGAAAACAAAAAACTGAAAAATAAAAATAATAAAATTGAAAAAAAATGATTTATTTTTAAAAAATAAATAAAGAAATATTATAATTAAAAGAAAAAAAAAATGAAATAGTGGAGAGTGAATAATAAGCAAGAGAATTAGCTGAACTCATCATTATCAAAAAAATGTTAGAACGGGTTCTCACTAATAGCCCCCTTTATAATATACCTACTCAGCATTATTTTTCAAAATGTTTTAATTAAACCCAAGTATGGCATTAGTTCTAGATAAGATTGTTTCAACTTTCAAGCACACACAAGACGGCGTCGTTTTATGTTTTGGGAGCATTGTCGTCTGGGATTTTTACAGTAATTGGAGAGGGAGAGAGAGAGAGTGGGAACTGAGAAGAGAATTGTGCTCCTGCGTGCTTTGGCGGGATGGTCCTGAGAGAGGCAACTGCTGTTACGGTCGACGCCACCGACAATAGCAACGCCGATGCCTGACCTAGCGGCATCGTCGGCGTTCGGAGGTTTCCGCTGGCGGCGCAGCCGGAAATAATGAGAGCAGCTGAGAAGGACGACCCAGTACGCTTCATTCGTATACGACGCCTGCCGAGATGCCTTCCGCCACCTCTTTGGTACTGTAATTAATCCATCTTCTCTTTCCGTGCATATAGAAATTAAATTGATTTTATTCATTGCGTTTACAGACCTTTTAAATTATAAATGTGTGCGTTGTATTTTGATCTAAGGATTGTTGCTTTGTAGTGCTCATGGAATTATAATTAGTGAAAATATGTTAAAATTACTGAAAACTTTTTTAGTTTTATTTAACTGTGTGACTTTTTCTTCATCTTTCACGTACAAGAGTTGCTGTTGCATATCAGAGTGAGGTTTGCCGCTGCTCTTCCTAATTAATTTCTCTCACTTTGGTTATGTGGTTTTTTTTAATTTTTTTTTTTGTAATTAATTTACTGCAAGATATTTTGCTTTTGTTCTTGGAATAGTGGCCTGGTTATTTTTTGTTTTGTAGACAAAACTGTTGAGACAGATGCTCTATTATGTTTTAACGACTGGCGCTGGAAAACAGACCCTAGGAGAAGAGTATTGCGACATTACTCAGGTTTGCATTTCTCATTTTTTTAAGTTTACTAGTGCATATGCTTATGCACGAGGCTGAGTTTGTTTTCTGCTTGGGTTTGTATGGAACTAAGATTGAATCACAAATACAATGTAGAAAACGATTTTATCGGCAACTTAGATGGAGGAATGTTTGTTCAGCATGACATATATATCATATTATATTTTCTTTGTTCTGTTAAATGTGTGTGTATACAACAGTCTCTTATAAGAAATGCAAACAATAAGATATTAACAGATACTTGGTTTTGGAGAATTAATCATCTGCACAGCTCTGTAATATTTTTGCTGAATAACCTTCAGCATGATTCAAGTCCATGTAACATTGTATCTTTCAAGTAATCAATCATGATTTGGTTTGTAATACGTTAGCTGCAGAGTTGATAAAAAAAGGTTGTTGAATTATTTTGCATTTAATACATCTGATTGGAAATTCAATTTGTTTAATGGTTGTATAGCATTTCCAGGTTGCACGACCCCACGGACTTCCTCCAACTCCAGCTAGGCGTTCTCTGTTTATTGTTTATCAGACAGCATTCCCGTATATTGCAGAAAGGATCAGGTTCTGCATGTGTACATTGTGTTACGTGAACGACTCCCTGTTAAAAACTTAAGGTGGTTGTATAATGGCTGACTTACTTATCCATCGGGTTTGCAGCTCGCGTATTGCTTCCTTAGGAATCACAATGGATGATTCATTATCTGATGAGATAACAGAGAATACTTCAAACATTCAAATTCAGTCCTCTGCTAATTCAGGAGCCCGAGTTTCAGCTTTGTCGAGATTGAAATCTAGATTTAGTGGATTATGGTTATATGCAGTTCAGAGGTGGCCCTCAGTATGCTCTCTTACACCACACTACACTAGTCTGCTTGCTTGTAATACACTAAATAGTAGGAAAATAAAATGTATGTGGAATGAGTTTCTATATTTTAACTGGAGTCAGTTGTCTTTTGTTTCCTGATTCATGTTTATAGATACAACTGAGAGCATGTTTTCAGTCCCTCTTACTATCTTCCCCTTTTCCTCAGTTAATTATTGTCCCAACCAATTTATTGTTCTACTGTTGAATTCAGATGGTACCTATAGCCCGTGAGTTTTTCACGTTGATTCTCCGGACAAACCTCATGTTCTTCTATTTCGAAGGTGAAGTGATCAACCAGTATTAATTACTAAAAATAAGTAGTAATTTGACCGTAAGCTATTTGTTTTATGGTTCTGGTATTAAATTTTCTTTTACAGGACTTTTCTATCATTTATCAAAAAGAGCTGCTCGCGTTCGTTACGTGTTTATTGGCAAACCAAACAATCAACGACCTAGGTACGTCTTCCAATTAGCACTAATTTAAGATCACTCTTAAGTTGACAAATTTGTTGGAGAGGGATATGTAATATTTTCATCCTATACTTGTTCTTAAAATTGCTTATCTGGTATCTTTTGTCAATTTGGTGAAATTCTATTACATAAGTTCTTCTCCCTAAGGGGGCTAAAGCTGATAGGTAGTGATGTTCCTTCATTTTTTTTTTCCGACAGAAATTGGTTTGGGATCCTATTCATAAAATATCCGCCCATGTTCGTTAACTATTCATTTCCAGATTGTTTTACTTTCCACATACATACATATGATCAACATGAATATCTAAGCATTCTTACAGCTGGTGCATTGAGTTTGTGTTAGTCTTGTATTATTATAGAGAAAATAACTATCATAATGGAGACCTGTAAGACGCTGCATGATTTTATCTCTGTAAGGATTTTTGCTAATATAGTTGTATTAAAACTAATTTATGAGATAAGTTGTGTCTAAAGTTTTCGTTGCAGATATCAAATACTGGGGGTTTTCCTCCTAGTTCAGCTGTGTATACTTGCTGCAGAAGGATTGAGGAGAAGCAATTTATCTTCTTTGGCTACTTCTTTTCAACAAACATCTCTCGGAACTTATCAAACTTCAGGAGGTGATATTTGACTGTCCTCCAAATTTTGAACTGATATCATTAGCTGAAGAAAGGATTTCTAATCCTCCGCATCAACGATTTTAAGAACTAAAGAATATAACATTTTGTTAAGTAAAAAGATCTATCTTAAGTTCTTAGACCTCAAAAAATGTATAGAGGAAACCACACAATTTTAATTTTTTTTTTTTTGTCGGACGCAATATTTGATTCACGTGGTTAACTTTCTTTGGTTATTTATCATCAATCTATTAGAGACAAGAATATGCTTCTTGTTGTTTACATGAGAGCTTATAAATATCGTAATTGACAGGAAGAGGTTTGCCTGTTCTAAACGAGGAAGGTAGTCTGGCAGCTGACGACTCCGGAAAGAGTACTTGGGTTCCCGAATCCACATCTACTTCAGAGGTATAACTTACTCTCTCTCTCTCTCTCTCTCTCTCTCTCTCTCTCTCTCTCTCTCTCTCCCCCCCCCTCTCTTTCTCTCTCTCTCTATATATATATATATATATATATATGTGTGTGTGTGTGTGTGTGTGTGTGTGTGTGTGTGTGTGTGTGCACGAAATATAATTACTAAAATGCATTTTGAGGCACTATGAGTAATTGTGCATATAATTCTGCTGTTGGAAGCCATGGGTGTGGAATAACGTCACGATTTGTCTGGTCCACGCATCTTGGAAATACGTATATTTTTTTTCTCTTCATGGAGTTTCAGCTAGGAAGAAAACACTTGTTATGTCCATTTAAAAGTAATAAAAGCCAGGACCGGAGCCTTGATCTCTCTGTATTTGTATTTTTAGATCTTATTAAGGAATGTATATGATACTTTGCATGAAATATATGTATATTAATCATATTACGTGTTTTGTATAAAAGAGAGACTGTGATTTTGTGTCCATTTTTGAGCTGATCTCATAAGGATTGTCCTTCGTGTTTTTGAACACTTATCATCTTCTCCAGTCATTTAGTTTCAAAAAAAATGTAGGTATGTATATTTATATAACATTATTTGATATGGGGCAATTGTTATTGTAGTTTATCTTAAACTCTGCCATATGAATTGACCCTTGAGTTACTACTCTTTAACCTATCTTCATGTTGTACATTAGTTAATGAATTCACCCTTAATGTATTCGTCTATCTTCATGTTGTAGATTAATTATTAAAATATCGCACTATAGAAGTTGGGAAGCAAGTGTGGGTGTAATGGGCAACTATGCACCAGCCTCTCAGCGCTCTTATCAGTAAATAGCGTTCCTTAAGTAGAGTCGAGGTATTAAAATATATGTCTTGAAAAATTCTGAAGTATCAATTTTCTGCAGATTAGCATCTTTATAGATCCTGACCGCTTTTCACATAGAAAGTCTCGTAAAACCGTCTCTCATGGGCACAAGTGTCACGTGTGTTCAAATATGGATTTTGCATCAGATCTTCTGTTCTGATCCATTTTTATTGATTCTTATCTTTTATAATGACAGGTCACCAAGCAATTCTTTGTTGTTGTAGAAAGGGAAGAATGGAAATTTGAAACTTCATGCGATTTATATGGTACCCTCACAATTATCGGAGCTGTTATATTCTGTAACACGAAGCGCAAGGTACTCTTTCATTGATCTACCACCAAACTTTTTTATATTTTTTGTTTTGTTTTGGGGGCTAAAACATTATAGAATTGGAAATCATGAAAGTAATGAAATAGTCTCTAATTGAAAATTCAAAACGCCACAACTAGTATTCAATAATCCAGAAATAGAAGAAAATATTTGAACTAAAATGTCTGCAGACCTAGTATTCAACCAATCCAGAAAAAAGAAAATATTTAAACAATGTCTATCGTGTGAAGTCATCCTCCTTCCCCACCAATATAAGCAGCTTATTGTAGTCGTAGATGCAAGTCAATGTAGGCATCACGGCTGCAATAGAGGAGAAAGAGATATATTTAGGAAAAAATAATAATAAGAACTAAAGCATCAAATAATAAAAAGTTTCACTTGTGACTTACCATTTCTGTTTCAGATTAAAAAATAAACCTTCATCTCCCATAAGCAAATCAGCAGACGGGCAGTTTACCTGAAAAAAACTGCCTAAGCGTGGGTATATTAGGTCCAGTTGTAACGATAAACATTCATCAGAGTATGCGTTATCAACATATTCGTATTGTCTATCTCTCATTATATCCACTGCTCTGCGTCTCAATTCTTCCCACTTTATCTCATAATTTTTTGTGGGAAAATCAGTTAAGAGAACCTCTATTGCTGATGAGACAAAAGGAGCATGTTGAATCACATCCCTCTGAATTATATGCTTATCCATGATGTCTTTATTTCTTTGTGCAAGTTTCTCACGCATCTCAGAGTCATTTTCATTCAGAGGATCCCTCGGTGGAGTAAAGCCAGGACGATGATCTTGTGCAAGTTTTTCACGCATCTCAGAGTCATTTTCATTCAGAGGATTCCTCGGCGGAGTAAAGCCAGGACGATGATCATTGTCGTTCGGGCCAGGTGGATCATTGTCGTTCGGGCCAGGTGGATCATTGTCGTTCGGGCCAGGTGGATCATTGTCGTTCGGGCCAGGTGGATCATTGTCGTTCGGAGCAGGATTCCTCGGAATTACAGTAGAGGTATGAGAAGGTCTATTAAACTTTCTTTTTTTTCCCGGACCAGCCTTATTTGCGTACACCGGTTTCTTTGTTTGTTCCCTCGGAGAACGCCTCGACGGAGAAGGGGCGATTTCCGTGGTTGTTTGGTTTCGAAGAGAACGCCTTAGAGGTTGACTGGGGTTCTGAGTAGTGACTGGAGCGGAAGAACGAGGTGCCAGCTCTGAAGAAGCATTGGTCGGATTAGAAACTTCTTGAAGATTGGTCGGTGCTTCTCGAGGATTGGTCGGAGTAGAACCGTTCGGATTAGAAACTTCTCGAGGATTGTTCGGAGTAGAACCAGCTCCGAGATCTCTGAGATTGGTCGGAGTAGAACCGTTCGGAGTAGAACCAGCTCCGAGATCTCCGAGATTGGTCGGAGTAGAACCGTTCGGAGTAGAACCAGCTCTGAGATCTCCGAGATTGGTCGGAGTAGAACCGTTCGGAGTAGCACCATCTCCTCCGAGATTGGTCGGATCATGCAGAGAGAGATCAGCAAGGTCGGGAAGATTATCCCCTCCATCATCTTGATCTGTAATTATTATTATTTAAAAAAAAAAAAAAAAAAAAAAAAAAAAAAAAGAAACCGTTCAATTACCGTTTCCATCGGAATCATCGACCATCATATCATCGAAATAATCTTCAATCTTGAATTTGTTGAACGGTTTTGGTTCAAGGTCTGTATATAATAGTTACACTAGGAGTTAATTTTATGAGTAAAAAGCAGTTTGCCACCTAAACTATGGGCCGATTTGCACTTTACCCCCTAAACAAAAAAATTTTGCACGTTTTTACCTGAACTCGTTAATTTGTTGCACGGTGCCCCCTAAACTCAATTTTCCGATAATTTTGTCCGGAAAGTTAAAACATGTGCCTTGCCCGTGACATTCGTAGGGATATATTCGTCCATTCACTAACATATTGTATATTAAATATAAAATAATCTTTAAAAAACCAAAAAATAAATAAAAACAAAACAAGAAAAACAAAAAATAAAAAAATATTGTCTTCCTTCTTCCCGTCCACCACCCCCCTCTCTCTCTCTCTCTTTCCCCTCCCACACACACACACAGCTCATCAGAGTCCTGTCCTGCTTCAGGACTTCATCAATGGAGAATTTCAGTACAATCGTCGCCAACCCATATTTTAATCCATGTTTTTTCAATTGGAACAACAGATAATAACCCAACACCAACTCTCTATTTTTCAACTACTTTAAATTCCCCATTTGATCACCAAAATTTCACACACTCAGAGAAATCAGGAAAAATAATAAAATAATAATAATTTAAAAAAACAGAAAAAAAGAAAATGGTGAATCTTGTGGCAGCACAAAAGCCACTATTGAATGGGCTGATGAAGATGGCCGGAATTACACCACACACTGTCGAAATCTGTTCCGGCACCGTTATGAGCATCTGGGTCCCTTCCGAAACAATCATGAAACTCAAAACCAGTTCAAAGAAAACCACCGCCGCCGCCGACGACGGCGGCTGCAAAACAGCAAAGCCCACGAAGCCGGTAGTCGTCCTCGTACACGGCTTCACCGCCGAGGGAATAGTGACGTGGCAGTTCCAGGTGGGTTCCAGGTGGGTTCGTTGCCGGACCTGCTCTTCTTCAGCGGGTCGATCACGGATAACCCGGACAGGTTGCCGGCGTATCAGGCGGAGTGCCTGGCGAAGGGGCTGAGGAAGCTGGGAGTAGAGAGGTGCGCGGTGGTGGGGTTCAGCTACGGCGGAATGGTGGCGTTCAAGATGGCGGAGATGTACCCGGAGATGGTGGAGGCGATGGTGGTCTCCGGGTCGATACTGGCGATGACGGATTCAATAAGCGCCGCCACGCTGGAGGGGCTGGGGTTTTCTTCCTCGTCGGAGCTTCTGCTGCCGGACTCCGTCAAGGGTTGTAAGGCGCTGCTCAAAGTCGCCGCTCATAAGAAGTTGAAAAATACAAAATATTTTTTTATTTTTTGTTTTCTTTCTTTTGTTTTAATTTTTAATTTTTTTTTTAATGAATAATTTATATTTAATATAAAAGATGCAAGTGAATGGACGAATATAGCCTTGCAAATGTCACGTGCAAGGCACATGTTTTAACTTTCCGGTCAAAATTGCCGGAAAAATTAGTTCAGGGGGTACCGTGCAACGAATTAATGAGTTCAGGTAAAAAAGTGCAAATTTTTTTTGTTTGGGGGGTAAAGTGCAAATCGGCCCATAGTTTAGGGGGCAAACTGCTTTTTACTCTAATTTTATTATAATACAATAACAACATGCATGGATATTCACAGATTTACTAACTTACCGACACGAATATTACTCTTTGCAATAGACAGCATCTCATTAGCAAAATAAACGTACTCAATTTTCCTTTTTCTGTCCTGAACTTCGAACATTTCATTTAGTAGATCCACAGGCTCCACCGGATCCATTGCGAGTTCTGGAAGCATCAAGAAAATTTATTATATATTAAGAAAAACAAGAAATATCAAGAAAACGTGAAGAACTTGTATCATCAATCTATTGCATATACTGGAATATAACAATAAAAAAAAAAACCCTAATAATAATTACCTCACAGCGTGAATATGGAATTACTTCTGCCTTGCCTTCTCTCTGTGTACGTGAATCTCTCTCTGTATTGCGTGATGCGTGCGTGAATCTCTCCTCTGCGTGCGTGAATCTCTCCTCTGTATTGCGTGAATATTTCTCTGTATTGCGTGATGCGTGAATGTATATCTCGGCTGTGTATTGCTTCTCTCTCTCTCTCTACTTTCTCTCTCTAGTGTATAACTAACTATGTCATATTCTACGCGATGAGTCTTTATATAGATACGGATTCCTAACTGAATATGTAACTCTTATTTACTCTATTTAATTATTTAATTTTTCTTGTTTAATGTATTAATTAAATATTCCTAACGTGTAGATATTTAAATTCTTCCACACTACCAGAAATACGCGTAATTTGATTTTAAATTTTATCAATCAGTTGTTTGGTTACCTTTTATAAACTTCAATTAACGAAACTTCATGTGTTAATTGGTCGTAATTTGAGCTTTTTGTTAGCTTATATATTACTTTTTATACAGGGTTTCGGCCGATTTTTTTCACCGTGTATTATGTATAAATTGTATTATATAAATAACAATTTTTTTATTTTATTAATAAAATAAAAATAATATCTTGATATCATATTCTATGACTAAATTTACTAACTATCAAATTTTAATTTTGAGAAAAAAAATATTTAATAATTAATTCGTTTATATGATAATATCATATCTATATTCCATGCAATAAATTTTAAAGTACACATATTTATTGAAAATTCAGATTTTCGATTCAAATCAATTTTCAATATTTCAATGATTATATTTTTTCCCCAAAATCTGAATTATTATTATCATATATTATAAATGACATTTCTTTCTTTTAAGAATTTCTGTAAAAAAAAAATTTGTTTTCCAACCTATTAAGAAAATGAAAATAAAGAACTACAAGCGTGGATATATGACATGAATAGGAGAGGATTGAGAAGTGGTTGTTATTAGAGGCGAAAATGGAGATGAAGTTGACGAAGAAAGAGGGGAAGACGAGTAGATTACACACACACACATAAATATATATAGTTAAGCTAGCCCTAGGGTTTTTTGGTAAGAAATTCGATCATCAGTTTGTTCACTTCGAAATTCAAAAATTGTCGTCATTATAGAAAAAGATGATGCCAGAGTTCAAGTGCCTTAGACTGCTCAAGGCAGAAGCAAGAATGTGGGAACAAAACGCAAGAAAATTAGCTGTCGATTTTGGGGTGTTTAAGGAAGGAGTTGTCCGGTCAGAACCTTAGTAATTAGTATGACAAACAATATACGACAGGAAATGAATGCATATAACATAATATTTCTTTCGTTATAATCGAAATTACCAGTTTGATTAAATTAAAATCTTACACAATAGAATACACGGCAAAATGAAAATTCCACAAGCAAGCAACCACCATTGGCTCTAATTCGACTTAGAGGCGGAATCCATCCAAGTATGATCTAACCATACGAGGCTGTTTCTATGAAGGCAATAGATGGACAAATCACCAATGCAGTCCAAGTCAAGACACTCGATTTCCCGTGTTCGAACATCATAGAGCACAAGAGCCTTATCTCGAACCTCCCAAACACTCAACACGAACACATCCATGTAATTTAACCAACCAGCCGGTATGAGTCCGTTGAGAAGAGTACATCCCCAGTGTTTCTCTATTTTGCACTTTTGAGCATCCAAGTCAATCTTGAGCACCTTCTTCCATTCCCCAGGTTTCTTCATCTCCCAAATATCCCAAGAAAATCCGCGCCTCGTGGCATTGATCAGAGTCACAGATCTCCACGTCGAAAAATAATAATTATATACTATTCGATCTACATAAATATCGTGAGGAATGGGAGTCTCTGTAAAAATCTCACTCTCCAAGTTCAAACTCAAGAAACAAGTACTGAACCACCCACCCCAATGCACAAATCCTTCAGTAATCAATGGTCTATAGGCGAGAAGGTGCACAGCTGTGGCAGGTATGTGTTGGGTGTCAATGCATCTCCAAGACTTGCCAACTCCCAAAGTCAATATAGCACATCCTTGTATACTCAAATTGTTCGACCCGGGGTAGCTGTGTATGTGGACAACTTTATACTCCTTTGAAGCCGGAGCATATCCTAGACACGAAAAATAGTGGCACGCATGTTGATGAGCAGAAAATTGAGGGACTGCAATCCGTTTATTAGTCGTGTCATTCACAACGAAAACAGTTCTGTGAAGGTTGTTTCCCTTCGAGGGGTAATCCTCCAATGCCAGGCCATTAAAAGTAGCCCAATATTTGGAATTGAGATTCAGACGGTACTTGGATTTTAACTTGAATTTGAAGTTATTGACTTTGCCTCCTCTACTTAGTGTCACGAAAGTTGGATCTTCCGAAGTTGTCCAGTCCTGGATCAGAAGTCCGGGGCTTGAATGCTTAAGGTGTTCCTGTATGAAATCATGTGTGTGGATTATTTTGTACCATCTGCGGCAAACGAGCATGGCGGATTCGTAAATTTCTTCAGCTTCGAGCTGTAGAAGAATCTGGAACACGATTTCATCCGGAAGAGACTCTATACTTGTCGTCGAACTCAAACATTTGTGTTTACATCTCCTGAAGTAATAAGGGCGACTGCGACGATTGCATTTCTGGACATCCACCTTTTTCTGCATATTATATATAACAAACCATAAACCCCAGGTCAGGTAACCCCAACTATTTGTCAGGTGAACATGATCATGTTTTCTCTATTTGACCCAAACACTGGTCCAACCATATATCAATATTTTTCCTTCATATAATAAAAACATTGATATTAAAAATGAAAAAAATAAAATAAAACTGATCAACCTGGTCCGACCCATCAAAGATACTATCAGCATAACTAAAGCCAAAGGCACTCTGTTCAATTTATCCTCTGATGAACACCAAAGGAGGAATAGTATAATATGCCAATTATATTGCAAGAAAAACAAATGATGCATTCATCAATTAAATATTAGTTAAATTCGTGTTTTCTTCTTTTTAGCAATGTTTTCAAAACCGGACCGGACATCGAACCGGAGAGCCGTGGACCGGTCCAACCGGGGTCCAACCGGGTTTTTTATTTATTTTGTATTTTTCATTATTTATAAATAATTTGAAGTGTTATATTACAAGTTTACATTAAAGACAACACTGCACCAACAACGACTTTAATTTAATAATTAATTAAAAAATCAAATTTTTTTTGAAGAATTTATAATACAATTAAATAAATAGAAAAATAATATATGGATATTTCATCACATTATTTTTTATATCCTAATATAAGCAAATAAACAAAAGAATAAAAGGTAAACCCTAACACCCATTTTATTTCATCCGCCGCCCAACCAACTCACAAAGACTCACACTTGTGATCTCTTTCTTCTTCTTCTCAAGCATTCACCCACAGCCGAAGCACAAACTCTCATCTACAGATATTCTACTTGAGATATTTTAAATTCACAATAAATATTTTTTGGAGTCCAACCGGACCGAATCAGTGAACGGTTCCCGGTTGAACCGGTCCGATCCGGTATTGAAAACATTGCTTTTTAGTCTTCACTGTTAACAGAGATGTCGGTGGGTACGGGACCAAAAAAATCATAAAAACTCAGAAAGATTTTAGAACACCGAATGAAAAATAGGAAAAAATGAACAAAATCATGGATCTGAAAAGCAGCATTGCAGTTTCAAAGCAAATCCAGAATATGAATTTGTAAATATGGGAAGCAAAGTGATGAAAATACAATACCTCCAGATTTAGTTTTTCTATAATTGGCATCGGAGTCGAGGTGATCCACCGGCCCCGGCGGCTGCTAGAGAAATGGGGACGAAGGGACTGTATAAATCAAAACCGTGCTGGTTTAGGCTGTGGGCTTTTCTTTTTCCATTTTTTATAAAGGAGTCCTGCTGTGGGCTTCAAAAAATATTGTTTTATCATATAAAAAAAATAATTATTTAATTGGAAGAGGACAAAAAAATATATATTTCGCCGTTGCCGGGGATCGAACCCGGGTCACCCGCGTGACAGGCGGGAATACTTACCACTATACTACAACGACTTGATGATATTTTCATTCTGAATGTATATTTAATATATGATACTGTTCACTTTACAAATTTCCTTAACTGCATCACAAATGCACATTTTGTTGTAATAATTCTCATATTTCAATGAAGCAATACCCCTAATAAAGCTTCAGTCTCAGTTCTTTCAACTTTGCTATAGATTTTCTTAATATGATAGAATGAATTCATTTATGACTTGACCTTCATTATTTTAGCAATTTGAAGTAGTGACGTGGTAGAATAAAAACAAAAGCGTGGATAGCATTTCTCTGGCAAGGAAAGAACCTCTTTGTTAATATCCATTCTCAAAAAAAAAAAAAAAACTTGAGCGCACATTCTGCAACAATGGCTGCTTCATCAACAGCCACCGGAGCAACTACTGCTTACTACATAGCTACTCGAAATCACTTATCATCGACTTATCGGCATCCAATACCACCTTCACTTTCAACGTATCTTAAAGCAACAAAGCCACCCAAGAAATTCCTACTCATTATTACGAATTCCGGCGACGCAAGTGTTACTGCAACTGAAGAGGAATCCGAGGTGCCGGTGGAAGTTCCTGAAAGGTCTCCATCCCTTATATCAGCACTTAATGTGGAGAAAGCTTTACGCGGCATTGGTCTCTCTCTCTCTCTCTCTCTCTCTCTCTCTCTCTCTCTCTCTCTCTCTCTCTCTCTCTCTCGCTTGATTAGGTTATGGAGGAGAGCTTACTAATGAAATTCGGTTTTAGATTTGCAGCAATTACAGACGTCGATCATTACGGTAGGCTGGGGCTACGGAGTGGATGTTCGTATGATCAGGTCCACAACAAATTAAAAGATCGTTATTTATCGACGATTGCATTTTAAGGGTGTTTTGCATATTAATTATAAAATAAAGTAATTAGATTATACTTTGTTAGGTTAATGTTGCTTTCAAGAATAAGGTAACGGAAGTGATGAATAGAGGGCTAGCTGCAGAAGAACTCGACAAGGAAGTAGAGCTGTTAAAGGTCCATAACATCCCATTAATTTATTTATTTTTAAATTAAATCATAGAGAGTTCTTACTTATATTGAGCCCCATTTTGAATTGATCTCAGGAATCGCATTCGATTTTATCAACGGTAGAGGAGAGACGGCTGTACGATTGGAGCTTGGCTAGAAGCGGGAAACCTGATAAATACGTATGGCCTTTTGAAGTTGATATTACTCAACCCCCAACCGAAATCCCTCCCCCTCAGGTAAACACTACATTTTGTATCTCTGAATCTTTTATTTTAACTTATTTTAAAGTTTGAACAATAGAAAACTCAAATTTTAATTTTTTTGTCTTTTCTTTTCTTCAATAACATATCCTTACATTCAATTTTTTACTTAATGTTTTAACCCCAACTCAAACAGCTTGAAATTCAACGCGTCATTTTTCTTAGTTTAGATGTTATTTATTTATTTTTTCCATATTACGAGTCCACGGCTTGTCTAATTTTTATTTCGAGTGTCCCGAGTCCAGAATAAAGGTTCAAGTCACATGATCCGCCATGTTCTGTCGGTCAAAACAATTTGTGCGAAAATATGTTCAGTCCTTTAGTATGAGTCAATGTCTTCTTCAATAGTCCTTAATATGTATATATACATATACAACATCTAAACAAGTCCACAATAATTCTATTTTGCAGGAGCCAGACGATGAAGGGCCAACAAGATTGGTGGGATACTTCATTTTAAGCTGGTTAACTTTATCCGTCATACTGTTTATTGTCATCAATCGTTAGCCAAATAGTTACATTATTATTCATTTCTATGTTTTGGGAAACATATAGTCTCCAAAATATAATGTAATTTTTATGCAAAAATAAAAATGATATTCAGATCCCTCCATGTATTATATTGCTCTTTTAATAAAATATGTTCTCGAAAGAACTATGAAGCATTGTGTGGGGCCCAATAGTGAACAAAACCGATCGTGAAAATGAAAACAATGAGCATATGTGTGTGTGTGTGTGTGTGTGTGTGTGTGTGTGCAGATTCTAACCACAACGCTATTTATAAGTAGTGATGATGCAAGTGAATTTTTACTTAACACTTTTGAGGGACAACTTCTATATCTACTCCCTTAAAATGCCTACAAACGTGACTGACAAATGTGAATTTCAAATAATTATAGAGATGGCATGGGATCATAATTATGTGAAATGTTGATTTTGATGCATGAACGACCAACACATGCAACTCGAATAATACATCCGAATTCCCCCCTCCCCAGTATTCCCATTACAAGTAAAAAACCAACCATTTGATTTTAAATTTCCCTATCATGTTAAAGGCCTGATTTCAACAAATTCTACGTCTTAATAAGCATTTTTGATCATTTTCTAGTATTTATAAATATTTTAAAAACAAAGCATGAAAGGAGAGGAACATCTCCAAGAAAAGGATTCCAACTTACTAGGAATCAGACACAAAGGTAGAGGACCTTTGATTCTAGAAAGAAAAAAAAAAACATACCTTCATCAGCACCGACACCTCTGTGGAAAAGATCGATTGAGTGAGAAATATAAACTTCCATACAATAATTTCAAGTGCCAGAGTCTGGTATAATCTTTTTGCTAGCATCTGAACCTCACATTTAACAAGGGAAATCAGGTTAGTCAGAAATAATCAACAAAAGATAATTAACTACCAGCTCATGTCAAATTCATAAAAAGGAAAACCAATCTATACTACCTGTAGTAGCAATTTTTAAGTTAGAGAATCCTTATTCGACCTAAATGTATTAAAATTAACTTGTATCAACCTCTATGTATTGAGAAGACTCTTTAATATGACTAAGATACATCTATGACTACAAATTGATACAAAATACCTATTTAAAAGGAAGGATCACCAAAGTCCATTTTCGATACTTCATTCTATGTTCACCACAAAATTCATGCCCGAGTCTTTGTTTCAATGTGCTCTTCTCTTACGGTAACGGTATTCATCTCTGTAGTCCTCATCAGAGCCATTCGCCGTTTGCCACCTGTCAGCATGATGTCCATCTCTCGAGTGCTTCGTACTGTGCCTGGAATGTCTAGAATCATGACCTCCATCCCTCCTCCGTTCAGGTGAGCTGGGCTCAAAACCAGAGCCTGAAAAGTTGCGATGTTTTCTGTGAGAACCCTTAAAATCGGAATCGACTCTTCTTTTAACATCTTTTTGGGCCGAGTGATGACCCAAACTTGAATCACTGTCATATTGCCCCCTTTTCTCATGGTACTTCTTTGGCTCTACATCATGATGCTTGTTGTGCCTCCCCTCACCATGCCTATCGGAGCTTCTAGATAAATCTTCTTTACCAGAATTTGACCTCTCCGCATGGCTTGGCCTCTTTTCTCGTCCACCATAAGAAGGGTGTGAGCTCTTCTCATGTCTTTCATCTGCATGAGTATGCTTGTCATGCTGACTTTTTCTTCCCAATCTTTCATCGGAGTGACTCATGCTTGCTTCCTTGTCTTTCTGTAATTTATAATCATGAGATTTTTCTGGCGGGTTATACCTATAGCCTTCTGGAGAATCACCATCGTTGTCGGAAAGTTGTTCTCTGATGCACAAACAGAGCTTTCGTTAGAAACTTCTATCAAAAACCCAATATTACTAAAAAGAATATTGGAGAGACAGACAGAGCAGTTCTTCTCATTATCCTGTATTATTACGCTGAACTAACCTTCCAAGATTTTCATTTGAGAGCTTCCTTTTATTTTCACAATGTTGAAGCCCAAAGTGGTCAGTCGGGCGAGGAGGCGCCATATTTCCTATTCTCATATTTCCACTGCAAGATGTACTTGGTGTCAGAATCTGCATTGATTACATTTGGTTGTGTGAACTTGAAGACAAGAGAAGCACTCATCAAACCTACCCAGGTACAGGCATACCACCACGCATGGAAGGAATGTAGGGAGGAACAGGATATGGTGAGACTGGGACCATGGACGCATTGAACTGCATCATTGCTGGATTATTGTACATATTTGCATATGGTCTAAAAGGAGGTAGTGAAGAACCATTCCAGTACGGTGGTGCATAGCCTGGCATGCCTCCATGAAACAATCCATTCCCTAAAATGATTAATGAAATAAGCATTTTGCATATGTAACTTAATACAAATAAATACTTGAAAATACCTGGCTGAAACATGGGATTCTGATGGGACATAGGGCAGTCTCTCATGAGATGATCTGGAGAACCACATGTGTAGCAATTGCGGGCTCCCTAAATTTCGACAATGTAAATGAAGATTATAAGCTTTGAAAGCATGAAAATCGCTTGTACCAAAAAAAAAATTATCGCGAATTCTTTGATAAATTGCAACTGCTATGAGGCGCTCAAAGAGCAACTCAAAGATTCAGATATGCTTCAATCTTAAAACCATATATAGTATCATAATCAAAAGAAACAATTAGGTGCAGTCACAGAAGTTACCTTTCTATATCCACCAACACCCAAAAAGTTTCTATCTCCACCTGAAAACCAAAGCAATATAGCAGAGGGTCGGTAACTGCAACAATCACCTATTGCTTACATAATAATGATACAGCCATTAAGAAAGTATTGTTTACCTCCAGTGTCAATGTAGAAGCCCGCTTTTCGTTTGGTGTTAGAATCAGCTGCAGTAAATTGCAAAAGGATAGGACTTAGTTAAGGAATGGGAAGCTGGCAACAAAACAAAAAGTAATCGCACGGATAATTTGGTAACCAACACTACTTTATACATTGATGCAGAATGAATTTAATCCATTCAACTTAATAATCCAGGAAACTTTATTATCAGAAAAGAAAAGGAAAACAAGAATTTTCATGAAGAAGTCATGATTCCTGTATTTCGAGTGATCGGTTAATTCAAACAAACTGCTGTCAACATTTCCCTATACTATTATTATATTTTATTTTGCTGCTCATTTCATTTACGTTCTCACTACATTTCAGCATAACATTTAGAAAAATAGTTGTTTCTTGGGAGTTGGAAAGTAACTTATTAGGAGAAAGCATTTTTTTCTGGAATAAGTAGAGGGAATTACCTTCATCGTGAACATTAGCTTCAGTAAATACAGGTTGATTTTCTCCCTGAAAATCTGCCGATGGTGCAACAAAAGATTTTATATCTCTATTATCAGAGTTCCCATAAGGTACGTTTCTTTGATATTGTTGCTCATAGGGAGCTTGTATATAAAGTCGATTGTATCCATTCCCAGTTCCACAAGTTGACTGAGGCAATTCTAGTTCCCTCTGGGCAACAGTTAAAGCACATGAAACATCCTTAGCTTGAATTCCAGATTCTCCATCTGCATTTATAAAAAAGGCAAACATGCACCATTTTAAAACAAAGTCTCAGAAAAGTTCCTCAAGAATTGTCCGGAATAAGCTATCCACCTGGCACATATTTCTCCATGGCATCATTCTCTAGACCAACATCAAGCATCTGATTTTCAAGAAAGTGCTCAATTGCTTGACGCAATGACAAATTTGGTAGCAGATCTTCGACATTGCATTTGCTGGAAAAGCACTTTGGGCAAAACCCGTTTCCAAGAAGCACTTGGCGGATACCTGAAATCATACAAACAAAAGAGAATAACAAGTGATTAAGATAAATATTACAAAATTCTGTCACACGGACAGCAGCGTAAAGAAAAAATCTAGGAATCGGGTATTGGTAGATTAGTAGTAATATCGACACAAAATGGGGCATCCAAACAGCTCATCAAAACTCACACTTCTGACAAAAGCTGTGCTGGCAACAAGGTATCATCACAGCCTCCCTGAAGAAATTACTGCACAGTGCACATTTCAATTCTAGTGGCAAATTAGTACTTTGCATGGCCTGGAAATTGGATGTGGGGAGCCTGTTAACAACAAAAAAATGATGTCAGAAATGCAAAATAAACACTTAAAGAAGAACCTAATAAGTAGGACCAATAAGTAACATACTTGTTTAACTTCATCTTTTCGTCAACTACCCTCTCAATACCAGATTGATTATAACCTGAGGTTAAAATCACCATGTAAGCTTATGTAGCAAAAAACAAAATCACAGTAACCAAATAAACCTCTTGGTATTGCTTGATTGGGGTCGCTTGAACCATGCTTTTGACATTCTAACCTGTAGAGACATAAAAAGAATCATTCTATAAGTAAAAATACAAGAAATTTGAAAATTAAATAATATAATAATAATCCTGGAGAGGAATATTACGGGCAAAAAAGTTTAAGCGGGGTCAAAACCTCATCAAACAAAAGAAAACTCTTTAATGGCATAGACATGAAGCCTATTCATGCAAGTGACACCAACTGATAACATCTTAAATATCATATAATATGTGTGCATGTGTCGAGTAACTGGTAATGCGTTATACCTCAGTCCAGCAACATTATCCTTCTTGTTACCCATTAAGTTATTTTCATAAGATCCATGATTGAAATCAGGGAAGGTCGAATCAGGAACGAGACACAAATCAGCGCCTAAGTCATCAAATTCGCCAGTTGGTTCATTCTGCACAAAAAGAGAATGCCAAATTATCAGGAGAGTAGTTCACACATGTGGGAAAAAAAAAACTAACACTAAAGCCACACCCTAATCCAGGTATCGGAGTAGTTATTACTGACAGACAGTTGTAGACGATAATTTCATAGGGAAATGGAACCAGAAATTATTACAAGTTAGAAACGACAAGCAGAATTTCACATGATAATAGAATCTAAAATGAGAGAAATTCTCAAGTGATAAGAGGTGTCGGAGAGAATTATATTTGAGATCATCAAAATTAGTGCATATTACATCACGGGGAGAATATACAGGTCCCATATGCATAATGATACACAAAGTTGTTTCATATATATTATTCATTTACGAATGGTGTCCATCACAAGATGACAAAGAAAGCGACAACAAAAAAGTATGGATGCGAAATCCACATAAAAGATGCTTACAGCTAGATTCGGATTATGGGACTCTTTCATCACAACATTCTTCACAACTTGAACGGGTGAGCTGCAAGAAAGTACACTATATAAGTAAAACTTGGAAGAATGAATGAAAAATAATAATTCTGAAGAACTATTCATATCTAAGCTCGAACATAACGAATTTAATTTATTGCAACAGAAAATACTATAAAAGGGAGGTATGGATGTGGATAAATTCCCACAATTTAATGATGCCTATTGACGTTAGTTGGAAGTTATATTCGACACGTGGCTAGTAACATTTTTGTATAGATAAACCATTGAATTAATCGGACCAAGAGAGTTCTTATTCAAGGGAAATTAAGTAAGGTTTGGTGACATGATTTCGACAGGGTTTTGAAATTTAATTCGAAGAGCTTGATGTCTCAATATGAACAAAGTAATATTTATAAAATTACAAGAAGAAATTCGGCCAAGAGTGCATCGCGAAAAGTTACAAACCTCTAAAGTACCAGTTAACGTAGAAGTGCTGACACGTGTTGAAAGTGGAATCCAAGATTTACGTAACTCGCATAACGAACTTAAGGATAAAATTAACTGTCATTCTTAAATAACGTAGCATTTTTAACAAAACATTTTTTTCATCAATTCATTATCAAACTGCAGAATTGTGTAACTTAATGATCCTATATGACGTCACTCGCCATAATGGTGACAGTGATCATCAAATCAAAATGTCGCCTACAAAAAGTGCTATGCGCGATAAGGTAAGTGAAATTATAGCATTAGTCCATTAACCGCTTACGTATACAAAACCAAAAAGTCGTTAATTGACATGCAGAAATATAACACAACTACTGACAGCGCGCGATCCCTGCCACACCAAACCTTTGATATCTTTTTCTTGAAATATATATCCAAAACCGATTCAAACCTCAACGGAAATAAATGTTAGGACTCCATAACAGGTAAAATTCATATATACACCCATACTATAATCAAATACACATGCATGCATCACAATCTCATCCAGAAATAATGAGCTCAGTTAAACAGTCAAATAATTCAAGTAATTCATTTTGAGGGGAAAAAAAACTAACACAGCCGGTGGTGGCAGGGTTCCACCAGGAACTCTCTTAACAATCACGCTGGATCCGCTTGGAATTTGAGAATCATCACCTTTGTACTCTGCGAAATCCAGGTTTCACCAAACAAAAATTAACTAATTAAAGAGACGTCTCAAGTAAATAAGAAAAAAAAAATCATCATCAGAAGCAACATAAACAAATTAATACAGCTAAAACAACCGGCAGAAAAAATGCAAAATCGAGATTTATAAAAAAAAAAAAAAGACAGAAAGAAACTGAATGGAATGGCAAGTAATCAAAGCGATTTTGAGAAATTCAAGGTACCTAAACCGGTAGCTGCATCGGAGAAAACGAGATCAAACCCTTGCTGTTGTTGCTGAGAAGATTTTCCTCGCAAAATCTTCGCCCGCAGCTCTCCAACGGAAATTGAGTCACGATTTCCAATCTCCGCCGTATCAAAATTCACCGAACTCCTGAATTTGAACCGAATTGACATAGCTGGAATTACTTTTCAAATGATCAGTCAATCAGATATACGACGATGTATCTATACAATTACAACCCTCTCTATCTGTGTGTGTTTGTGTGTGTTTGTGCAGGTTTGTCAATGTTTAAGGGGCAACGTCATAAAGGGTTTTGCATTGCTGATGTGTGAGAAAGAAGGCGCAAGAGAAGGGGCGGAGGGGGTGGGAATTTATAGGGTCGCTTCTAGTCTGTATTGGGGGGTGGGTGGGGGGGAGGGTCACGTGACGTATGCGTGTTGATGTGTACTGGAGATAGGAAAGGATATGTACCTCCAGTTGGCAACTGTGCAATGACACAGTTGCGCGCTTCTTTGGGTTGTACCCTGAAAAGAAGCTGACTCTTTTCAATGTAAGACGAATTGGGTACAAGCCTATGAAGCATAATGGGGCACGTGACACGGGATAAGTCAAAGTCAAACTAATTTTTACATTTGTATCGAGCCAATTATGAAAATTTAATAAAATCCATGTAAAAGCATTTATAAAATCCATGTAAGTATAATCCTTCAAATCAGGTTTGGCAAATAATTACAAATATTTCCCCACTTTTTGGATAGTGATTTTATTACTTCTTGCCTCTAAAAAAAATGTGATTTTATATTGGCGAGTAACATTGAAAATCAGATATTACACCAGATTATTTACATCAAATGGATTTGAATCGTAGATTTGTTTAAATAACTATCCACTAAATACACATGGTTAAGGGTAATTATATGTAGATCTGCTGTTCAATTTCATTTCGGATTTTTTCTTCGGAAAAAAGCCCCCAGGCCCGCCCAATAATGGTCGTGATCTATCATAATGGGCTGCTCTCGCCCAAGCCCAACACAATATACAAAACCAGGAGATATCACAAAATGGGCTTATTATAATGATATAATTTATAAAATTTACACTAACAAAACAAAATAAAAATAGAAGAGCAAAGAAATAATTAATTAGACAGGTGGTCAATATATGCACGAGAGGCTGTGCAGGCGGCAATTAATATTTGATGTCTGTTAGTGTAGCCATCAAATTCAGAAATGCAAACTCTTCCCGCTGACCGGGACCCGCCACCGGCGCCCACCACTCACCACCACCGCGCCCCGCACCGGAAGAAAAAATACGGTACTTCCATTAATTGCTACGTACGTCAGTCGTTTCCCACATCACCTTCTGCTGGTTGAGTGTTATTTATGGCAAACCAAAATGTTTGCATGAGTTGCTTCAATAACATTGAAGCCTCCTAAATATATCAACCAACCTACTCCATAATTATATATAATTTAAGATCTCGTTTTAATAAAACTAAACAAGTTCGACTCTTGTTGAAATAGTTCATGCAAATTTGATTCGCCTAATAATCAAATCGAAATTAGATGTATTAGCTACTAAAGGATCGAACCCGCAACCAACCAAATAGGTCTTCTGTCGTTCCTTGCTTTCGAGTTAATTATATGTAACTAGTCCAAATTTGCAATTAGGTTCGACTCTACCGTATTGAAATCGTCACAAAAACACTGTCCCGAGAGAGTAATTACTAAAAGTAGGAACATTAACTAAGAGAAAGCAAAATGGAAAAGTTGGAACAAAAAGTTTAATTAATTATTCCAAAAGATCGACCGATGATCTAAATGCAGTAGGCCATTATATCTGCAGAGTGCAGATACAAGAATGCATGACTAGTAGATATCATAAATATTAAAAAGACAAATAAGTACAACATGCCAACGAAAGTCATTTTTTTTCCCCTCTATATCAAAATTCAATAGCTAGTGCTATAATTTAGTTGGAATAAGCGTAAATAATTAACTACGGATTAAAGCAAATAAACAGCAAAAACATACATAAACCCTAGTTCTGTAATCATGCTAGCTACTCCATTTCTCCACCATTTCCCGAGTCGATAATTCAATCAACGGTTCAATCCAAGCCCTTAATTAACTAATTAACACCTTCCTCGTGCATTTCGCCGTTCTTTTGGAAATCATGACTACTAATATTAAGACTACCACGTTCGATTTCCGACGGAAAATCGATTCTTTGACCCGTGATTTTCTCCAAATACGAAACAATCATGGCTTCTCGACTTTTCGCCGAAGCCCTATCACGAGCCCTAGCCAAAGATTCCTCCTCAAAATGCGCCAATTCTTGATTCCTCCAAGCCTCCTCTCTAGCCCTTCTCTCTTCATCCAATCTCTCGACCGCTTCGCTAAATTTCCTATGAAGACTTTCTTGATGATCCATCACTTGCTTCGTGAAGTTCTCGAAGAATTCGGACATTGGATCAACTAGTTCGCTATACATATAGCTAGTTTCCGTTTTCTTCTTCTTCTTCCTATTCTTCGGCTTTTTATCAGCATTGTTATTCTTCAATGAATCCGACCCCGCTTCTTCTTCGGACAGCGGCAAGTGGGCGGTCACGGGCGGCGGAATATGACTATGACTAGGGCTAGGGCCTGTTTGGTTAGCCTGATTATTATTAATATTATTAGAAGTAGGAGTAGAATTGTAAATGGCTTCCAGCTCGCCAAAATGTACTGATCTACTTTTGCTGATGATATCTTTCTGATGATGCATTTGCAAGTGTTCTTGTCTCTCTACTATTTCACTGTTTTCATTGGATGCTTCTGCTGCCACTGGTTCCCTACATACATTTATTATTTCTTATTACCAATATTATTCAAAAGGACAACAATACATACACACACATATATATATATGTGTGTGTATGTATTCTTTTTTATATATATATACTAGCTGGATTAATTAACAAAAAAATAATATTCTTGATCACAGCAAATAATGATGCATAAATAAATATAAAAGAAGTGAGAAATAAAAAATAAAGAAATACCAGAAGCGGGGTTGTTTAATAGGGGAATCTTGTTGGTTCTGCCAACAATGGAGGATTCCGAGAGAAGGGTGTCGGGTACTCTCCTCGGGGAGTTCATATTGCTCACTCCCACGAAGAAAGCTACCATCTGCTGCTGCACCACCACCTCTTTCATTATTATTATTATTATTATTATTATTATTAATACTGCTGCTGCAGTCTCTATAATCATTTGATCTGGAGCAGAATTCGTTCAGACCTAGCTTGAAGTTCACCGGGAAATACGCCTGAGAGGAGGCGGCGGCGCCGCCGTAGTGGTGGGGTGGAAGGAAATGGTGCTGGTGGTCGAGGAATAGTTGCTGAGTTGGTGTGGGTAGTGAGTGATGGTGGATTTGGTGGTCATGAGTAATATGGGTTTGGTTCATGGATAGTAAATTATTTTCGGGTGCTGATTGCTGCAGGTGCTGCTGGATTCCGGGTATTTCAAAACCCGAATGCATTATCTTTATAGATATAGATATATATGATTCTGTATGTATAGATGATGAAGAACAGTGACACTGGTAGATCTTGAAGAAGAAGAAGAAGAAATGAGTTTAGATTTGGAAACCCTAATAATAATGTGGAGAAATTGTACGTTTAATGGAAGAAAGATAGAGAAGAAGGAAATGGTAGGGGTAGAGAGAGAAAAGAAGGGAAGAGAGAGAGAGTGATGGAAACCCTTGTTAATGGAAGAGCTACTAGCTAACTGTGGGAGAAGATAAAGGGCCCGGAATTGAAACGGGTTTGGTATGTTTTTTAACTTGACCCGGTTAGAAGAATCTACCCTTTTTCTCTTTTTGTTTTTTTCTTTGGCCCTTTAGGACTTAGGTATTCATTGAAAACGATATTATTATTTTTATTATTATTTTAATTTTTATTTTTATTTTTTAAAAACTTATTATAAACTTATTTTATCTCACTATTATATAATTTAAAAAGATTTAAACTAAAATTTAAGAAACTACCCATAAAGTTGTTTCGTAGAAAATCTAACGTTTAATTACAAACACGTCAACGTCTAAAACATATATTTAAAATCGTTTATGGTATTGGTTGAAAACACCACCTAACGTTTTGAGTCGACTGTGTCTGTAAGTACGTGTAAAAGAACAAATTACTCATAATTATATTCATGCAATAGCAAATGTGAAATAAAATGTCTATCAAATTGCATTTGGATTGAATGATTTCAAATAAATTTGAGTAAAAATTTCAGTATCACAAATTTTGAATACAACCAAACACAAAAAGTAATTTTAAATTAGAAGTACAATTGTATGATATGATTTGTAATTAATTAATTGAGTATTTTTATTAATTTGCTAGTTTTATCTTACATTAATTATGAAATAATAAATAAGGAGAGAGAGAGAGACTAGAGATGACACGTGCGGTTGTGTGTGGCAGAGTAGAGAGAGAAAGAGAGAGAGCAGAGCAGGTAAATATGTAGAGAGAGAGAGAGAGAGAGAGAGAGAGAGAGAGATTCTGAAAGAAAGAAATAAAAATACAAAATAGAATTGATGGTGGCGCACGTGAATGTGTCACTGTGTTTGCTCGTCCTTACTGTCTCCTTCTCTGCATTAATTTCTGTGTCCACTGCCAAACCCACCCCCACCCCCACCCCCACCCCCCTCAACAATCCAACGGCTACAATCCTTTTTTTTCTCTTGCACACGCCCTTTCATTTTCAGACACTGATCTTCCCACGTATGTATTCTTCATTTTTTTATTCTTGAAATTCCCGTTTTCTCCTTTCTTCTCCAATAATACTTTATTCTTTCACCCCCATATATATGCTTATTTTGACCTCTCCTATAATAATTGTATTATTATAAATAAAATGTGTGAAATAAAACAACTGCTAGCTAGGGGTGGCAATTAGAACAGATTTTTTGAATTCCGATGATTTCGATCTGATTATTATTTTTTGATTTTGGAATAGTGTTTTTTTTATTATGATTTCCGAAGTTTTCAATATCCATTTATTTTTATTAAAATAACTATTTTGATAATCTAAGCAAACAAAAATGAAGCCCATTAATACAAACCATTGGGCTCAATAATTGGGCTCTCGGCCACTACTTTTGTTATATTATTATATGACTTGCTTTATTCGATTTAAATCATATGACCCATTGGGCTAGTATTCATTTCTTCCGAATTTTCATTCTATATAAAGTTATTTTTTATTTTTTCTTATTCTTTTTTTGCAGTTTGCAAGATAAATTTTTGAATTGAGTTGCTAGTAGTGTGACATGGAAATAAGGAAAAATAAGATTTTACGTAAATAACACATTTAACAAAGAGTTTGAATAACAATTAAAATCACGACGACTACAAATTTCCACACAACAAATTAACGGGCGATAGTAGGTTTTTGTTCGATTTGTTGTTGCAGCTCGGTTTTTAACATAAAAACTAAACGTAAACCAAAATTGTTCAGTTCTTTATAACAATTAACCATAGCTTTGATTCGCAACTCGAGACTATTCGTAACGGCGCTCGGTTATCGTTTTTTGTTTCAAGTTTTTGGCTTTCGAATTTTTTGGTCACTCATATATAGAAACTAACATGATCATTTATCAATTATTCAAATAAGACTATTGACTTGTTGAATGTCTCAACTCCCAGTCAACTAAAATCTCTAGAGCCTGAGATTCTGAATAGACTTCCAAATCACAAATATCAGATTATGTGAGATATTATTTTGTGTTGGATATAACTACCATATAAATAATAAAAAAAAAATAATAATGAATAAAAATAAAATAAATAAATAAATAAGAATTAAGTTTTCTACTGCAATTTGACCAACATGTAAGATGAACAAAAAGTTACGTCAAATACTGAACAAAACTGAAAATAGCAAAGAAAATATAGAAAGAAAACGATAGAATTCATTGTGTTGTGTATAATTCTAATAACTCAATAGCCCTTAATTAATACGCATTTATTTCTCGTGTTGCATATTCAAGATATTTTAATTGAATTTGACTAAAAAAATAATAGTAGAAAATTGTCAGATTTTTTAAAACATATTTTTATAGATCCATATTTTTATTTTCCTTCACCTGCAAGCGCTGAATACTTACTTAATTTCTTTTTATTTATTCATTCAAACTTATGTTTATTGGGAAAAAATATAGAAAATATATATTATTTAAATCTTCTTAAATTTTGTACGTAGGCTTTTTTTTTTTTAATAATTAAAATACACATCATTAGCTATTATTTAAAAAATCTGTTTAGTTATAATTACAATTTACATTATAAAAGGTTTGATAGTTTTGTCGTGATTATGTCAGTAAAAGGATAAGCATTTTAGGTATACATCAGACGTCAAGTTGGCATAAAGAAAAATACAATGAATAAATAAATAAATAAATAAATTTTCTTGTAATAAAACAAAGAAATTAATAAATAAATAAAAAATGATTTTATAGGAATGAAAATCTTTTTGGGACCACAATACTCTGTTTCGTCGAGGAAATCCAGAATACTGCATCAGAAGATTTAATGCTGCACCCAATTTCTTATAACTTCAGCTACGTAAGAAATCTACAACAAACATATCTTTGATTATCTGCTTTAAATTAATAATTACTATTAATTTATTTAATTTTATTTTGTTAATAATGAATTCAAAGTTCAAACAAAGGTGAGATCAGCTGACAAAAGAAGATTTTTCTGGATTGGTTACTACTTGTTCAATATTGGACAGCTAACTAATGCTTAGATTTGGAATGACATAAGTTTATGATTTAAGGATTATCTTCCCACTTGCTAACATAATTAAATATTCCTAATGACGTGCTTAGTCGAGTTGTTTCGATTGAAATGACCCTCGTAAATTTTATGTGAAAAATATAATCGTGATATATTTGTCACACATCGATTGCACACAGCAAAATCATTTTTCAATCTCGACTGTAAATATGTGCGCTAATTTTGTTTATTACTACAACAAGCTTTCGACTCTTGATTTTTAGGAGCCGTTCGTTGTTTTTCTACACTTCGTTATGTTATCTACGATTAATTCTACAACAGATTCATCAATTCGATATTCACTTTGATTCTAATAATAATTTAATAAACTATTATCACTACTATTGCAACTCGGAGTGAATATTTGTTGGTCACAACAAGGTACTTCTTGAAAGATTTGGAACATAGAACCTGCACAATAGAAGAGTTGACCTTTTAGAATATTAGAGCTGACTCTTTTTTGTAAAAATCTAATGCAGAGGTAAATTTATTTGAGAACAAATTATCATTAATTCTCTTTCTATGGTATGTAATTCGTAGGAGTTCTTAATACACTTTGTTTCTTCTATTTTGTATTTAGTATTTACAATTGTTAAGAGGGTCTTTGACTAAGCTTATAAACTGTTAAAAAAATTTGTAAGATATTTAAAAGCTTAAAACGTTATTCGAGAGTGTATGGTATTTTTTTGGTAAAATAGACCTTAAAATTTCATAAAATAAGAAAATTGAGAGCTTTTAAGTTAAGATCTTATAACTTGTAAAACCAGCTTATAATCTTACAATTTAAACAACGTATCGACTCATTAAACAACTTATCAGATATAAGAATTTATCAACAATTTCAAATAATCTCAGCTAAATCAATTCGAACTCTTCTTGGGCGGCCGAAGGAGGAGTTTACCAATTGTACGTAATGCTACACATATATTATACACAACAAAATATAGAAGAGTATATATAAGAGGAAAATGTGATGAAGCTAGTAAATAATTGACCAAATCAAATTAGTGTCATGTTGCCAACATTTGTAAACTATATACCTAACAAATTAGTCTATAATAGAAAAATCGAATAATATCCGTATCTTGATTTATATAGCATGTGAATTATAACAATTGAAAGTCGTGTTTAAACAGAAAAAACACAGCTTCAAAAAAAGAATTAGAAAAAAAATTGCCGAAATGAAAAGAGAGTAGCCAGCTGCGAATCTTGGTAAAATACCTCATAACCACTAAACAGGAAATAAGCATCATTTTGTAAAAACAAGTGGCGGACAGTTGCAGCTGACCCTCTTAGCCGATAGGAGAGAGAGAGTAGAGAGAGAGAGATTGAATTTTGAAACCCTTTTACTTTTCCTCTTTCTCTCTCTCTCTCTCTTTGTTTTTTTTTCTAATTTAATGTTTAGTATTTAAAAATTCCACTGAGCTACCACTATTTATAATTCCGATATATAATCCTGATACAATTGCGCCATTTATACACTCCAAGATTTCATTTCAATAAAGAAACCGTAGCCACATCTTTTTCTATTCGAAAAAAAAAACCATGATAGCGTATATAGAGAGGTTTGTACACGAAAACGACGTCGACTCCATGCCGGAGCAGGACACGGCGGCGGAGCAGGACCGCGGCGACGTCTTGCCGCTCTTCAACGGCGTCGACCTCCACGGGACGGTGGAATTCGCCGGATGCGGATGCGGCTCAGACGCCGGTAAAGATTTCGGCGGGACCCACTTCACTGAGCCGTTGGCCGTCATTCGGCCCTCAAACAGCGCCGACGTGGCGAAGGTTGTCAGGCTGGCGTCGCGGTCGCCGCACCTGACCGTGGCTGCCCGCGGTAACGGGCACTCCGTCAACGGGCAGGCCATGGCCCACCGCTCCCTCGTCCTCGACATGAAGTCAATCGAAAGTAGAATCGACGTTGACCCCGCGGCGGAGCTGGCTGACGTCAGCGGCGGTGCATTGTGGGAGGATGTACTGGAGCACTGCGTTTCCCGGTACGGCCTCGCCCCACGCTCGTGGACGGATTACTTGGGTTTGACGGTCGGCGGCACTCTGTCTAACGCCGGCGTTAGTGGTCAGGCTTTCGTTTACGGTCCCCAGACGGAAAATGTAACGGAGCTGGAAGTCGTTACAGGAAACGGCGACGTATTGGTTTGTTCCAAGAATCAGAATCCGGAACTCTTCTTCAGCGTTCTTGGTGGACTCGGGCAGTTCGGAGTCATCACTCGGGCCCGGGTCATGCTCCAACCCGCACCCGACATGGTATATACTTCCAGCTATACAAAAGTAGACACGTTTCAGAAGTCTTAATGGATTTTTAAATTGCTGATTATTTTATGTGGTTGTTTTGGTGAGTAGGTGAGGTGGATAAGGGTGGTGTACAGTGAGTTCAGCGATTTCACTCGGGATGCCGAGTTGCTGGTGACTCGGCCGGCGGGTGACTCGTTCGATTACGTGGAAGGTTTTGTAGTCACCAACAGCGATGACCCGGTTAACGGGTGGCCAACGGTTCCATTGGATACAAATCAATCATTTGACCCGACCCGGATCCCTCGTAATGCCGGCCCGGTTGTTTACTGCCTTGAGGTGGCCTTGCATTACAGTAATGAGGACCCGCCTTTCACAGTTGACATGGTAAATTAAATTAAATCGTTCATTTTTATTCAAATTTCATTTTTTCTAACTTTGCAATTATTAGTTCTTAAAAAATGTTACTTTTTTTTTTGTTTAGTATTTTGAATTGAATAAAATAGTTTATGGTTGTGTAGAATTAAGAATGTGTGGGGCCAATTAAGTTAAAGATGAGACTAGAAGGGGACTTAATTTTGACCTAGGTGTATGATAATTGGAGCCCACAAAGTTTGATGTTGACGACGAAGCAATAAGTGGGTCCCACCCAGGAGGACAGTGAAAAAGGTCAAAAAGCCTTACCACGTGTAATAACCACAACCCCCCACTCGGGAAGGTGGGTGGCGCCTCCGGACTCCACGGCGGCGGAGTCACGGCGGCGGCGGGGGGAGGGGCAACAGTAGTAAATTAGGAAAAAAGGTGGTGAAAGGTGACCACACTGTGGGTTTGTGCACTGCTGGGTATGTATCTTCCATTGGATTTTCTGACAGCATCAAACGTATGGAAGCGGACACAGAATGCATGCGGTCCTTATTACGAGATTGACACCACCGTACTTTAATTTCCTCTGACGTCCTCCTCTCGCGTAATGACAAAATGAAATAAAATAAAAATACCCCCTAGGGCCAAAATAGTAATTTCGCATCCTGCTTATTATTATTATGTATAATTTGAAATAATGAAAGAATGAATGGTGAAATATAATTAATGGTGCAGAGGGTGGAGAGATTGATGGGAGGGATGAGAGTGAAGGAGGGAATGAGGTTCGAGGTGGAAGTGGGGTACGTGGAGTTTCTGTCACGTGTGAAGCGTGCGGAGAAAGAGGCAAAGGCAAATGGTATATGGGAAGCCCCACACCCGTGGCTTAACCTATTCATCTCCAAAACAGACATCGCTCATTTCGACCGTCTTGTCTTTCAGAATATTTTGCACCATGGCGTCGGTGGCCCTATGCTTGTCTACCCTCTACTACGTTCCAAGTATGTCACCTTCTCTCTCTCTCTCTCTACAACTCTCTCTCTCTCTCTCTCTACCTTCTTCTCCTTTTAATTAAACTTTCTTATTACACCTCTAATTCTCTTCTCTTCTTTCTATTTCTGGGTTATTAAATTTTGACATCTATCTATTTATTCCTAAAACTCGGTACTATATTATTACACCATCACCAGGTTTATCAAATACCTCATTTTTCTATTTAAGTTGATTTTCCAGGCTATTTGCAAATAGTGAATTAAAATTCTAGTATATTTGGGATTAATTAATTAATTAATAGTTTTGATTATGAATTCACTCGAAATAGATACATAAATAAAAGAAATTTATGTAGAAGAGATTATCGGGGTGAAGATAAAAGTAATTAGGTAAGGGAATGGGTCCAGTAAGAGTGCGGGTGAATAATGGGGGGGCGGACCACCCTATTTTGTACTAATCGGATCGGATCGGATCCGCTGACAAAATTTGCTGGGTCATTTTAAATCGGGTGGGTAAGATTTACATATATACACATAATACATGTCATGTTTCTTTCCTTTGTATAAAGTAAGAAGGATTAGAATATAACATTGACCCACCCACAACTTCTATTATTTTTTCAAGTATAAAATAATTGCAGTTATTGCAGCTGTACTAGAATACGACCATTTTATTTAATTAATTAATTATTTATTTGTTGAATAGTGGTAGATTTCTAGAAACAAATTGTCATAAGGAGAGAGAGAGAGATATAGACAAGATGTTAGTAAAGTGACCCTTCTAGGTTGTATAAGCCAGAATTAAAGTATATGATTAATAATTGTCATAGATTTTGTTTATTATTACTAAATTTACTATAACCGTCCACTTAATTTGGTTGTGCAATAATGTATGTATAGAATTTTTGGCTATATATGTGAGGACAAATTAAATGTGTATTATTATTAATTAACTGGCAAAATTAAAAAAGCCACTAGCTAGCTAGCTTGTGACACCATTAGCTTTTTGGTGGATCTTGTAGAATCTAGACAGGGTACAATGAGTGTGTAAATAAATTCAATTAATTAATTAATTTATTTATTTATGTTGTGGTTAATTATAATAATAATTAAAAAATATATATATATATATATATAGGTGGGATAGCCGGAAATCGACGGTGTTGCCGGAAGGGGAGATATTTTATTTGGTGGCGCTGCTGCGGTTCTGCTTCCCATATCCAAAAGGTTTGTCGGTGCAAGAAATGGTTGTACAGAATCAAGAAATTGTTCAAACATGCACTAACAATGGCTTTGACTTCAAGTTGTACCTTCCCCATTACAACTCCACAGATGATTGGAAACACCACTTTGGGAATCAATGGACCAGATTTCAGGGGAGAAAAGCCTCTTTTGATCCAATGGCTCTCCTTGCACCTGGCCAGAAAATATTTCCTAGAAATTGGCAGCCCTCCTGATTTTTTTTTTCCATTTATTATTTGGTGGTGGTGCTTTTTTTATTTTTATTATTATTTTTTTTTATTTTCCACTCTCTTTACGGGGGTTTAATTAATTTCCAGATGTAAATGAATTATCTCGACGAAAATTTTAATTTTTTTTATTTCTATTTTTTAATTTCTAGGTATCAATAATTAGTGGTGTGCTGGGCCAAATCCAATAGGCAATAAGATTTGTGTTGTATGACAGAAATGTGGAAAGTCCAAAAATGGTGGTTTGTCTTTACAAGAGAATGACAATTTTATCAGCCTTAGTCGCAATCGTTACAGTTCAATTTTTCAATAATTAAAATTGTTGGGCTGGAAAGTGTGCAGAATTTATATTTATTTGCTATTTGTTATTAATTATGGTAAATTACACATACACCCATGAGTTATGCTAAAATAACTTAAAGGTTAATGTTCTATCGGTAATTACATTCATCCCTTGTTAGAAACCCTAATGGAACAATGCATTAGATAAGTTACTCCGTTAGGCTTCTAATGGACTATTAGTTTCAGGCAGTGTTCGAGACAATATAGAGCTAGAGGCTCACATGGCTTTCCTAACATTTCTTAAATCCTTATTAATTTTATATAAGATTTACAAATTTTCGTCTATGTTATTATTAACGGTCCCGCGGAAAACATATATAATGCATATCGAACACCAGGACATGAAATCTTGGCTCCGGTAAAATTTTCAGTGGTGTGGCTCTAATTATCAATACCCTAGGAACCTTAAAGTTATTTTAGCATACATCAGGGATGTAAGTGTAATTTACCAAATTAATAATATTTGACAATTCAAAAAATCAAAGTTTTCTTTTTATTGTGATGATGATGTTTCCTAAATTCTTGATGGTTCATTATTTTGGTTTAAAAAAAAAACAAAAAAAACAAAAAAAAAAAAAAAAAACAGATACTTTATCAATACATATTTAAATACTCGGTTATGAATCTTATTTAATTAATTAAATAATTATGTCTTATTCATTTTTTTTGTCCATTAGCTAATGATCTTACTCTTAGAACCAGTAGTAAACATACATATGAAGTTCATTAATATGTTTAAATAATAATTATACTTAGATTCTTGTATAAATTAAATGAGTCAAAGATATTTAGAACATAGATAAGTGCTCCAAATAAAGAAGATTGTTACACTGATAAGAAACTGATCTGAAAATCAGATACATAAACACTGATTAATTAATTATTAATATTGGATATTATATTATGAGTATCAGATTCTTTTTTGTCATGAAAAAGAAAAAAAAAACTTTTATAAATAGCTTTAAACATATGACCTGGGAGATATAACCGTAATTGGTTTCATCCAACAAAAGAAAATCAAAATCTACTTGGTTCCCACAATCCACCACAACCCTAATTCCATAGCTTAGCTTCCACCTTTATTTTTTTTTCTTTTTCTTTATTATTGCTTTCTCTTTCTCATCAAAAGTTGGGCAATTTTTAAACAAATATCATTACTTTTTCTTTATTACTATTTTTATTTCCGGATATATGACAATCTTTACAAATTATTTCTATTTATTCAGGTATTATCTTTGATGGATATTTCATTATTGCTACGATCGGCTATTTTTTTTTAATATATAAAATCAATTAAAACAATATTTTCGACCTGAAATGTACTAAATTATTAGACACAAAATAGCAAGTTTATTTTAAATTATTTTATATTGTTTCATTATTGGTATAATAGAATTTAAAGTTTGATGAAAGAAACAAATATTTGGGAAAGCAAATACTTTAGGAAAGTAATGATAAGATCATCATTTCTTGTGAAATGCACCATTCTGTAATCTTTATTTTGAAATAAGTAAAATCTCTTTTTCTTTTATTAATATTTATTTATAATTATTTTTGCTTTTTTAATGTAGTCAATCAGTCTTCAATTCACCTGCAGAGTATCGGATACGTTTGCACTCCGGTAAGTGTGTCATGCAAAAGATATACATACATACGTCGCCGGTATTCGTGTCATGCATCGACGTGCTTTTTCTCAACACTAATTTCTTCCCAATTAATTAATTAATTAATTAATTGAAAAGGTACTCGATTTTTTTTTTAAAGAATGTATTTTTGAGTTATAGTTGATATAAAATAAAATTCACTAATTAAATATTTAAAGCAAATTGTATTTGGTGGACCCAAAAACCGGGCCAACTTTTTTTGTTGTTTTGCATGATTATTACAAAAAGTAGCTCTCTCCCAACTGTGGGACTTCACTCTTCACAGTTGTTAAAATCGTGATAGTGAATCAATTCACAGCTGAAACCAGGAATTATATATATATATATATATATATATATATATATATATATATATATATATATATATATATATATATATATATATAAATTTTTGGAGAAATTTTGGCCCACTCATTTTCCTTTACAACTGTATATTTTACAAAATTAAGTGCACCAAAATCTTTTTGCAATGCACAACTTTTGGCACCTAATTGAAAGAAGTGTTGTGTTATTTTTATTTTATGTTTGTCTTTGTTCTATGATACACTAGAGGATTTCATGACTAAATTATATTTTAATTTATCGATATGATACATGTTTCATACATACTCGTACGTATATAATATTGTATGAAAAACTATTACATATATGTTACAGTTACTAGTGCAACATCTAAGATTTGATACTAGTTCCCAATTTTTTTTCTTTTTTTTTTCCTTTGTCGTTTTCTTGATTTAAATATAGGGACCCCTTAGTGTTTTTTTTTTTTTTTTTTTTTTTTTTTTTTGTTTTTTGCTAGTGAGTTGCAATTTGAATGGAACTTTTGGGTTTGTGCAAACATTTTACTTTTTCGGTTTAAGATATATTTAATTCATAACTGGACTAAAGCCCAGTTATGAATTAAATGGGCCCATTTATTCATTTATTAGATAGGCATTAATTGGGCCAGCATAATTTTATTACCGGTTCGTTTGAAGCCCGTATTAGTCATAATTTTTTTTCTTTACATATTAAATATCGATTTAGAGTTTGAAAGTAAAATTATTCGTATTTACCAATTTTGCTAGTATTTATTATTGATTTATAATATTTGGATTTTTGGAGAAAATAAGATTATTCATAGTTTTCATGTATATGTAAAGGGTAATTTTTGAAAATTTGTATCAAAACTTATGTGCATCTACTTTAAACGACACTTAATGATTAACAGATGAAATATAAAATCAAAAAATATTTTAATTTTTTTGACCTTTTATTTTATTTTAATAAAGTAATATAATATATATTTTTATTTGCTCATACATAAATATAGACTTATGTGTATGGTTTTGAGAGTGTGGATTTACTTATTCTTATTGCATCTATATGGCTGGCTGCAGGTTCATTCTTAAAAAAAGAAAACGAAACGAAAAAGAATAAACTATAATTTAAGGTAGAAAGAAATATAATTAAATGATATGAGACTTGTGTGGATGGAGAAAAATTGTTTGGTGTCGGCCACGTATAGGCCCATAGAATATAAATAGTCATGACAATGCCCAAGATTTGGTGGACCGGTGGATCTTGTTTTACCATGTTTTTACAGCCATTGATTGGGCTATGTGGGCCCACGTGTTTCATTTCAAAAGTAATAATTAATTCAAATGTTGTCACCCAATCTGCTAATCATTCTTTCTTGTCATTATTACCACTGCTGGTTAATTAAGGAGGAGATTAGCATAATCTGACAACCTTAAACACGTTTTGCTTCATGTTTTCACCTACCCAACCACCAAATGCTCGTTTGAATTTTATTCATCAACTTAAATAATAAATTCGAATCAAATTTGTATTAGGTAAAATATAAACCCCAATTAAAAGATCGATTTGATTAAAATACTAATATTAATTATACAAATTAAACCTCTATTCGTACATTTGATGTGCTCACAAACTAGATCACCGTTACGGTTTGTAGCTGTTTAAATCTGATTTATTAATAATTGAACTTAAATTAAATTAAATTTATAAAGTTTGATAATATTTTTTTTAGAGAGAGAAAAAAAATTAAATAGTTCATACTAAATAGGTAACGAGTTTAGCGGGCCGAATTGCAACATTTTTATGATGGGCTAAGAAATGTTGAAAAGCCCGAAAACTTTGGATTTAATTAATTTAATACCGATTCGAATTTCGGACAAAAGATAATATGCCTTTATTACCGCAGGAGAGAGAAAGTGAGAGGGAGAGGAGAGAGAGTGTGTGTGTGTGTGTGTGCAGCAGAAAAAGAAGCTCTGACGAAGAAGAAAAACGAAAAAAATCTCCATTGAAGCCGATCTTTTGGTTAGGAGGAAATTTTCGCCTTGCGTATGTTTTAATTGCATCCGATCTCATCTAATTAGCATATACGCAGCTCTTCAACGTATACATTTTCCTGCAAATTTTGTTTTCAGGATTTAATTTTCCCCAATTTCTCGACGATTTTTGCAATTACTCATAATTTTTTGTTTCTCCGATTTTTTTTTATAGCCATTATCTGATTTTTAGGGTTTTGTGGTGAAAGTTGGAGCTGTTGTGGGTGAAATAGGTGGGATCATTAGCTAGGATTAGTGAAGTGGTCTGGGAGCTATGGAGGTTTGGTGTTTCCATTTTTTATGAATTGGAGGAAAGAGAAGAAGATAATATTAATATTACCGGTGGTAATTTTTTGTATACGAGGGGGGCATTTTGGGGAATTAGAGCGAGGATATGGATAGTGATGATTCTGAATTAGGGCTCGGGGGTGCAGGTGAGTTAGGGCTACAGATTAGTGTCGAGAATGCAAAGGGGAAAGATAAGAACGAAAACTCGGATTCTGATGGCGAATTTGATGACAAGAGTGAGGATCTCTTGCCGTGGATGATAAATGATGTAAGGTCAAGATGTGTTGATAATGGTGGAAGTGGAAGCCATGAGGTGAAAATGGATGTTAATTTGAATTTGAGGTTGAGTGGTGAGCCTTCATCTTCGAATTCATCGAATATTGCTACGGAAACGGAGAATTTCGATCGTTTCGATCATGACATGCAGAATAAACGGCCCAAAGTTCATTCCTTCTCTCTGTGAGCTCTTTCTCTCTCTATCTGTGTGTGTGTGTGTGTGTGTGTGTGTGTGTGTGTTCCTGGTATGGATGTGCCGATATGTATAAAATTTCTTTGGTTGAATCATTGAGATTTAGTACTAGAAAACCATTTAACAGTGAAGTGTTTGTCTCAAGTTTTGATTCGAATTTATCTGTGAGAGAAACCGTTAGAAATGGTTCCGACGAAAATCGCAACTCATGAATTTGTTAATCTAAGAAGCCACGATTAATACAAATATACACTAAGCCATCACTCGTTGAGTACTGACCTTACACCACTGCTTGTTTTATTGTTTGTTCTTCTGCATCTTTTAGAAGACCATCATCTTTGTGTTAAATCTTCTTCTCTTATGCAGAGATTGGGTTACTAATTTTGAAACCGAGATTCATTATCTCGGTCCGCTACACGAGGAGGTTGATGACGAGAATTTGCCTGATTCTAGTGTTACCTTAGACAATGCTGAAAATAAGAACGATCCTTTACAAATGGAAGATTCTGGAGTTCGGATGGATCTGACCGATGACTTATTGCATATGGTAACTATTGCAAATTTAACCATGCAAAACTGATATTCTTTTCACCTGTTTAAGATTACGAGGCTCATTGTCAATATTTTCACCTGCTTTAGGTTTTCACGTTTTTGGAGCACATGGATCTTTGTCGAGCTGCAAGGGTATGCAGGCAGTGGAGAGATGCAAGTTCTCATGAAGATTTCTGGCGTTACTTGAATTTTGAGAATCATTACATATCCGTGCAGCAATGTTAGTATAGCACTACGACAACACTTGTATTTGTTTAGTGGCTAACTGTTTTCTTCATCCTTCATACCATAATTTTTTGATCTCATGGAAAAACTAACTCGAGTTATTTATTTTCTGCTTCAGTCGAGGACATGTGTCAACGATATCCCAACGCTACTTCAGTAAATGTTTATGGTACTCCCACTATTCATCTTCTTGCAATGAAAGCACTCTCTTCTCTGAGGTATTTTATATTTAAATTTCGCTTCATCTTTTTTTACTTGGTCAGCATTAGATGTTACTGATACAATTGACTTTTTTTTCCCAGAAATCTCGAGGTTTTAACTCTTGGCAAAGGTCAGTTAGGGGAGACTTTTTTCCAAGCCTTAACAGATTGCCACATGTTGAAGAGTTTAACTATCGACGATGCTTCTTTGGGTAATGGCAATCAAGAAATTGTCATTTATCATGATAGATTGCATGACCTTCAGATAGTGAAATGCCGTGTGATCCGCATCTCTATTAGGTGCTAAATTATTTCATTCTTGTTTATAAATTTCTGCTTCCTCCTTAATTAGGTTATGAATTATACATATATATATTTTTTTCCTCAGGTGCCCACAGCTTGAAACTTTGTCTCTCAAGCGGAGCAGTATGCCACATGCTTTTCTTAATTGCCCCCTTTTACGCGAGCTCGATATAGCTTCCTGTCACAAGCTTTCGGATGCTGCAATCCGTGCAGCAACCACGTCATGCCCACTCTTGGAATCATTGGATATGTCCAATTGTTCGTGTGTCAGTGATGAGACACTACAAGAAATAGCTAGGGCTTGTAGACATCTGCGTATTCTTGATGCTTCATACTGCCCAAACATCTCTCTTGAAGTAAATCTCTCTCTCTCTCTCTCCCCCTCCCTCCAAGTATATCTATATGAGATCTAACATTTGACTATCCATTGAAGTCCGTGAGACTGCAAATGTTGACAGTTCTTAAGCTTCATAGCTGTGAGGGAATAACATCAGCTTCGATGTTAGCTATAGCTTCGAGTTATATGCTTGAGGTTTGAATAACTCTCTTCTTGTTTTCTCTATTTTTTGCGATATCGGGATTTGATTAATGAATTTATGTCTTTATATGCTTTAGGTTCTTGAGCTTGATAACTGCGGTTTATTAGCATCAGTGTCTTTGGAGCTGCCACGTCTGAAGAACATAAGGCTTGTACACTGTCGGAAGTATGTCCTGTCCAACTCTTGGATTATGAGCCCTAACATCTCTTATTTTCCACACATTAATTATTACTTGCATCGTTGCAGATTTGCTGATTTGAATTTAAGAAGCACTCTGCTTTCGTCAATTACAGTTTCTAATTGTCCTTCTCTCCAGAGAATCAGCATTATTTCCAACGCTCTTAAAGTATGTTTTTATTCATGAAATAATTGAATAATCACCCCCCTGTCAAATTCTGACTTCTTCATTGAAATGAATGATTTTATTCCGTAATTTTGATATCATTATTCATACTTCGTCAATGTAATTACAGAAATTAGTTTTGCGGAAGCAAGAAAGCTTGAAAACCTTGGCATTGCAGTGCCATAGTTTGCAAGAAGTAGATCTTACCGAATGTGAATCTCTGACAGATTCCATTTGCGAAGTTTTCAGTAGCGGAGGAGGCTGTCCTGTATTGAGGTCATTAGTTCTCGACAGTTGTGAGGTTTGTCATTGCAATAATTTTTCCCTTTTGTCTTCCATTACAATTCCATCTATTGGTCAAGAAATCCAATATAGGGTTTTCTGTAGTAAGTGTTGTTATATCTGATTTTATCTACCACTCTTTCTCAGAGTCTGACGACAGTGAGTTTTGAGAGTACGTCTTTGGTTAGTCTTTCACTTGGGGGTTGCCGTGCACTAACATCTCTCGAACTCAAATGCCCTAACCTCGAGCATGTCTCTCTAGATGGTTGCGATCATCTTCAGACAGCATCGTTTTCACCTGTAAGTCTTTTGTTCTCATTCTCTGTTTCTTTGTCTGAAGCACAGTTTGGGAAAGTCTTGCAAATTGATGTCACTCTCTCTATTATCATGCTTTCATCAACTCTTGCATAAATCTCTTGCAGGTTGGACTTAGGTCATTGAATATGGGCATATGCCCGAAATTGAGCGAGCTCCATATCGAAGCACCGCTTATGGTTTCGCTTGAATTGAAGGGGTGCGGGGTATTATCTGAAGCATCCATCTATTGCCCACTTCTTACATCTTTGGATGCATCTTTCTGCAGGTGAACTTTTACCTGCTCTGTCAGATTTTAAGTTGATCGTCAATTCTTCTTCTTCTTTTTTTTTTTTTTTTTTTTTTTTTATAATAATTGTTAATCTTTCTACGGTTAATGTGTTCAGCCAACTCAAAGATGACTGCTTATCTGCTACAACATCTTCGTGCCCGGTTATTGAATCGTTGGTGCTGATGTCATGCCCGTCTGTTGGTCCTGATGGACTTTCGTCTTTACACTGCCTTCCAAACCTGATCTTCCTCGATCTTTCTTACACCTTTTTGGTCAATTTGCAGCCTGTTTTTGACTCGTGTTTGTATTTGAAGGTACTTTGTTGCATCTGTTATATGCAAAAACAGGGATATTGAAAAGTCGACCGAAAAATGCTTGTTTTTTCTGTTATGTTGATTTAACCTATTTTTTGTAGGTTCTAAAATTGCAAGCATGCAAGTATCTAAGTGACACATCACTGGAGCCTCTCTACAAAGGCGGCGCTCTCCCGGCTCTCTGTGAGCTGGATTTGTCCTATGGGACACTCTGCCAGCTGGCAATAGAGGAGTTGCTTGCTGGCTGTAAGAATTTGACTCATGTCAGTCTGAACGGTTGCGTCAATATGCATGACTTGGATTGGGGACTTAACTCTGATAGACTCTCTGAAGTCGGCACATTTTATGGGTCATTCGACTCTTCTTCGTCTTCCTCCTTGGAACCTAATCGCCTGCTGCAGATTCTTAACTGTGTCGGTTGCCCAAATATCAAGAAGGTGGTTATTCCTCCTACGGCACGATGTTTCGATCTATCATCTTTAAACCTTTCATTGTCGTCGAATCTGAAGGAAGTTGACTTATCTTGTTGCAATTTGTTCTTTCTTAACTTGAGGTATTATGTCTATACTACTTTGATGTTATTCTCTATGGTGCTGTGACGTATTTGACCATGGTTTGCTTTAATCGTTCAGCAATTGTAACTCATTGGAGATTCTGAAGCTCGACTGTCCAAGATTGACCAGTCTTTTTCTTCAGGTATGTTGTTATCGGCCTCTTAAGTACTGTAGTAGTTAAGATGGTAAATTAACTATCTTTACGTTTTTTTTTTCTAACCCCTTTTAATGCTTTTGTTTATGGCTGTCTAGTCCTGTAATATTGATGAGGAGACCGTTGAAACTGCCATCTTGCACTGTAACATGCTGGAGACACTCGATGTTCGCTTTTGTCCAAAGGTGACAAATCATCTCTCTCTCTCTCTCTCCCCCACACAAACTCACGCACACGCACACACACACACACACACTGGCACACACACACACACACACACACACACACACACACACACACACACACACACACAAAACCTTCCAATTAAAGGTAAACTTTGTTGAAAGCATAACATTTATTTTCACTTGGCAGATATCTCCATTGAGCATGAGTACAGTCCGTACAGCATGCCCAAGCTTGAAACGCATCTTCACCAGCTTAGCACCAACATGATACAAACAAAATGAATTATTCTCATGTGTACAGTATTTTTTTGTGTTTGGATGCACCCCCCCGTGATTGTGTTGTAACTTATAAGATGTAACATGTATTATTTTTCATACTGTTAAGAAACCTTTAACCAGACAAATTCTTACATTATCGCACAGGAAAATTTGGTTTTTCATGTTCAACTTGGTTTTGTAGAGCTGTATTTGATAATGTAGTACTTTCACGAGCAGTGAATTATATGAATCTTGAAGTAAATATTTGTGTATTTTTTAACTTACAATTTACAATATTGATTCGAGCTGCTTTATCTGAGGATCTAGGTTATCAGGTGCTGCGGAATCTTCTCCTGGGCTCAAGTATGCATCTGCCATAGCTTTCCCCTTGTCCAGCATTTCAGCTGGAACAGTTTTGAGAAGGCTGTGCAAGAGAAAAATATCATTACTTTTTGCAAAACTTAAATCTCAGACAAGAAACTAAAGACTTATTACCCAATCAATTACCTACCTATTCAGTGCAGTGAGGACAGTAACAACATTCACCTTCATCGATTCAATTGTTGAAGCATTTGAATCATTTCTGGATGCCCGCAGCAGCAGTGAATCGAGTTCTTCCAAGGCTCTACAATTTAATTAATAAATACTAAATAAATAAATAAAGCCATGTTAACTTGCCATCATCAAACTGAAGATCGAAAATAAACTATTTGCCCTTTCACAAGCTCATCTTTGAATTTTAATTAGAAAGTGCACCACCGAGTTACTGAGTAGAACAACCAGACTCTACGGGTACCTTAAACACTGATCAACCTCATTAAAGGCAGATTTGCCATTCCCAGCTTCCGATGCATATTGTGCTACCTGCTTATTGACAATCAAGAAAGTTGTGACACGTAGAAGCTGTATGAAACGGGGTCAACCAACCTTTTAACAGATATGACAGTATTGAAAGGTCAACTAGTCTACACTTCTAAGTTCTATTGAATCCTTAAGAAAATAAAAATGTTTAATACATAAATTGTGAAAATTAGGCTTAATCACTTACAATAGTTTCTAGTCTTTTACCCAAATCTTCCTTCTACTAGGTGCAACTCTGAGTTGTAACTTGTAAGCCTATTTTTTGTTCTGCGGGACTAGACAAACGTGGAAGTCCAATTAAGATTAAAATCATTTATCTGAAGAGCCTTGTTCACCAAAGGTTTAGCAGACAAATAATGAGAGAGAACGCACCTAAAGGGATTTATTCTACACCAGAAATAGGTTAGGAAAAATCATTACCAGAAGTGTGGATTAAATTGACTAAAGAACGAAAAACAAGAATGGTTATGTGAAACCCCACTGACTTACCGCTCGAATATTAACACGCAAAGAAGATGCAGGACCGGATCTTAAAAGAGTGCGGCAATCAGCAAATCTTGGTTGATCAACTTCAAGATATTGCCCTACAGTGCAAGTAATAATGCATCAAGTTAGATCTGTAATATTTTTTTATTCTTTGAGATAGTAAAATAGACCATTTTACATATATTGCACTAGATTACTCGATCAACAGAGCATCTCAAATGGAAAGAAAAAAGAAGGCGTTAAGAGACCCTCTTGGTGCAACTCAATTGCCACTCAACATTCTGATCAATACTGTTACTAAAAGAATCAGTCAAAGAGCATTACCCAATTCCTTAATCTGTAATTCAGTCAAAATAACAGCTGGTATATAAGCTTCTAGCGGATCAAGCTTTTTCCTAGATACAAAATTTGAAAAATATTATTAGCAATACAAAGAAAGAGGAACTATATTCATTAAGAAAAGCTACCCGGTGGCCAAGAGTGAAACGAAATTTCCAGCCAAAATAAAAACTGAGAAGTCGATAAGCTATTGAAGCAATATGTTTCCACAATAATTTCACAAGATGGCACAAATTTATCTAGAGATGAAACAATCATGCGGCTAACATTCAACATTAAAGCAATCAACAGAAAGAAATTACTATCATACGTTCCATCAACTAACTTGTTTCGAGGCTTCTTGAACGTGAAAGAACAAGCGGCAAGCTGTTTTTTCAGAATAAGAATTAAAGTGATGAAGTAATCGTTTAGCTCCTACTTTTGAACAACTTCTTGAGTTACTATAGTGAATTCAAATGCATCATACGTGAAGTCATTTGATATGCTTCACTCAAATTAGGTTTTTCTATCCAAATGCAACCTATACAAAGAAGACCATTTCTATCCAAGTCATTATTTCTTCTTATTTTCCTTCGTTTTTCTCTAGTAAACTTCACGCATTATGATATAAGTAGCTACATACACTGATCTAAAAGGAAAGATAAATTATCAAGACCATACAATACGAACACAGACTCTAATGCATACTTTTTCACATAGTTGTCCAAAATGCTGGCGCCCATTGCATCTGCATTAGCCAAAGCCAAGAAAGGCTGGTCAGAACACAAAAAAAACAGAGAAAAAAAAAGAGAAAAAATGAAACTGCAGTTACTCGAAAATTTCGACCATTTTATGACTCAAACAAAACGAATAAGTAAAACCAAGCAAAGATAAACAATAAAAATTGTAAAAATCAGCTAAAAATTGAGTTCAGATTTAATCTGCATTTGCATGTGATTAATCATTCAAGCAATCGAATCAATGTAAAACTTAACATCGATCTAATTTTCCAGTTAAATTCCTAACGTTTATGAATTATTGAACCGCATTACCGCAATCAATGTACATGCTGCATGTATATATATATATATATATATATATATATATATATATATATATATATATATATATATATATATATATATATATCGATATATAACTCATATATTTGTACATATGTGAAACTTCCCAATCCAAAGACGGCATCATGTGAAAAACGATCCTACAGTTAAAAGAAGAACAAGGAAAATGCAATTCATGAGGGCGGGGTATTTCTGTCCTTTGAGTGTAAAATACGTGTACCTTTGGTGAGAGGGAAGAAATTGAGGGAAACAAGTAACAAGGAGACCAATCGTCTGCTCTCTGGCTTCCTCTCCGGCAGCAATGCGCACCTGAATCTAGTGCTAAAACTGCGCCGTTTTGGCTTCACCGTCAAGCTTGAAGCGCGCGTAAAAGGAATAATTGAGGCACCGTGCGCGGTGGTGATGGTGGTCATTTCTCTGGCCGGCAAAAATTGGGGACGACGGAGACCAGTTGAGAACTTATCCAGTTTTTGAATGGGAAGTTACAATTTTACCCTTGAGGATATTTCGAGGTGTGGTTTGCAAAAAAGGAATATTTCAAGGGTTGGATTTTGAAATTTAATGAACTTGAGGGGGCGAATTGTAAAAGTGGTGGGTGGGGCCGTGGGGGCATCCTTTACTATTACGTTACGTGTGACGTCGGTGGCAGATCGAAGCAAACAGACAAACTTCAACAACAGCTAACGCAGTGAGTCCAACTGTTCCTTTCTTTCACACCAAAACTTTCTTCAACTACTCTCTCTCTCTTCTTTCTCTCTCTAAATCACAACAATGGCTAACTTTATGTGGACTCCTGTTCTCTGCATTCTCTTCATTTCAGCTTCTTCTTCTGCTCTTCAAAGTAAGATGCTTTCCACGAAATTCTTCTACCGCAATTTTTATGCATACAACCTGCTTGATTATTTGCTGCAGTGTCTTTTGAGTATAGAAAGAAAGTATTGAAATCTCACTTGATCTGCTTGTGAACTTGGGTTTGCTTTATGCTCTCATTCATTAATTATTCTTTGGTTTCTTAATTAACATTATTTACTAATTAGAGCATTATTCTTTCTTCATTTGCAAAATGAGTAATAAATGTGATGGTACATTGGTGGTTACTGGAGCAATTATTGAGCTTTGCTTTGAATTTATTCATTAATTTGAATATAGATCTCTAGATGGATACTTGAATTTTTGCTTGTACTACTGTTTTCCACACACATTTCAATTAGCCATTTGTGTAGATTTTTCTATAAAAAAGAAGCCATTTTTTTTAATCTGCACTAGGAAGGAATGTTATAGTTAGATTCGTCGGGCAACAGTCTCGTTGGCTGACGATTAAATAATAATTGTGAAGGGCATTGTTCTGAAGCCTAATTATAGGAGTATGTTTTTGTCTCCATGTAGTTGGTATTTATGTTCTAGAAATTTTTTAAGAAGAGTTAGGTGGGTAAATTTGCCCAAACTTCACATTCAAAATTTAGTTGTAACTCTTGAATTTCCAAATTAATGCTTCTTCAGGACTAAATATAGAGATGGTACAATGCAACTTTTCTTCATACTTAGTGGAGTTTGTAATGCATAAGAAGTCAATTGTAAAGTGTTGTCGATTAACTATATATTGGCTTTAGAAAATGTGATGTTTCTGCCTATTTCTTTTGTACGAGTAAGCATTCGACATTACTTCAAGCTATGGTAGTTGGCACATCTTCGAAGCTAAATATTTCAAGAATTTTAAATTTCCAGAATAATATCTGCGCATTCTTTTTCCCAACCTTTTTTCTATTCGGAATCGAAATAAAACAAACGTATTTTGTGACTGAAACACAGATAAAGTGACAAATAACCCTGCTGATGAGCTAGTGTCTTCGATCAACAATAACAGAACTGCAAGCAAGTCATCATCCTTGTACAGCAACCCTGGTCTAGCATGCCTTGCTCTCCAATACATTAAAGCATACAAAGGAGACTGTAGCTCTGTGGGCGGAACAAACGCCAAAAGACCAGCCGACTCTGAATTTACCGAATCTTTTGCCCCCAACTGTGGAGTAGAGGTCTCAACCCTTTCTCCAATCACAGGCCGCCTACTCGCATGTCAGTCCAAATACGTGGAGCCCAGTGTGGCATTTTCCGATATTCTGATGAAAAATGCAAGGAGCGTCGAAATTGTTCAGAGCAAGAACCACTCTGAGGTGGGGGCTGCAGTTAGTGGCTCGGATGGGGGCGGCCCCTATTTTTGGTGCGTGCTGTTTAGCAACGGGAAATCGAACAACAGTTTTGTCTTGGAAGGAAATGTTACCAAGATAAGCCGGCCAGGATGTTTCAGCGGTGCTAATGATGAATGTAGCGGTGCTGTTGCTTTGTTCAGAAGTTTTCGGCTTTGGTCGATTGGAGTAACAGGTTTGGTTATTGCACTGGCTTTGTGAATTTGATGTCTTGGTTTATAATTGGTTGTCTATTTCAGCTTTTTTTAATTTTATTTTCTTGGACTTTTCTTTGATTTCGGAAGCCTCTATCGGTTTGATTTATTCGGTCTTGATTGTGAGTTTGCAATGTTTTTGTTCTGGATTTTCATGTCTAGGATTAAATATACTAAAAAATATACTCGGTTTGATCTCGAGTCCTAAGTTAAATACACTCAAAAAAAAAAAATTGTGAAAGCGAAACATATTCCTAACTAGATAAAACAAAATGCAAATTAACTTGCTGTCGATTCTTCCGTGTCCTTCCTCGTCTTGTTTGGGCTGCTGCTGAAAAACATGTTTTCTAGATACAGGGGTGAGTGAGGATACCCTGTATTCGGAGTCACCTTAATTTCTGCACAAGTCTTTGTGACGAGGTTGTACTTGTACGCTGTATATGATTTCCTCCAACCATCTTCAAGTGCAATCTCGTTTTCGTTTGTCAAATATACAGACTCGATATAACTGCTTGAAAACGGCATAGCCTCCTTAAACTCCACCGACGAACCACCACCTCCTCCACCGCCAGGAGCTCGTTTCACAAACCATAACTGATTGATTCTTCGATCCACAAAATTATTATTCTCAGCCTTGTGATAGGCCAAACACATATGATCTCCCAAATAAGTAAGAAAGAACCTGCATTGATTATCATATTCTCTAATTGGCATAGGGAACTTCTCAAACTTCTCTTGTTTCGAATCGAAACAAACCAAGAAATTCTCGTCCATCTGGCACGTGCGAGTTCTCGTTCTCAAAACCCAATAAGTATCACCTTCAAAGGGGGACCCCTTATCACAACATACCATCGTACCCGGAATATCGATTTCCATCTCTTTCATCTCGTGGGACCATGATTTTTTCCCCATCGTATAAATCGAGTAGCGGCTTTTCATATCGGTAGCTACAATCTTATAATCCTTAATCAGTGGATCGTAATAAAGACCCTGAGCCACATCATTATAATAATCATCGCCGTCGAGTGTATGTATTTGAGGTTGGCACGGGATTTTTCTGTATGACCTGCTCGATGGATTCCACAACACGTAAATGTATTGATGATCGGGAAGATAACGTCACACTAGTACGAAACCGTCGCAGTAGCACAAGACCGTCAGAGGCCTCTCGCGTAGATAACTATCGGACGGTGGGAAAATAATAAACAATGAACGTTTTCCGACCCACAAAAGTAGATCCTTGTCGTCGTCGGAGGAGCTCTTCTTCTTCTTCGTCTCTTTCGCCTGTCGGAGATGATTTGCGATGAATTCGGGGTCGGAGATTGTGGCCTCCCATGATTTCGAGACGCACTTAAATCTCATGAGTGACTTTACGGGCAGACGAAGGAGAATGTTTTCGATGATTTCACTTGGAACATATGTCTGCCGTTTCTTCATCGTGCAGAACTAGAACCAGCAGCTAGGGTGAAAATACTTGTTAGAATACGTGCAAAAAATATGTAAATTTAATTTTCAGCTTCTCTTGGCATCAATTTATAAGAGTAAAATAAGACTAAATAGTAAATACAATGTAATTAGAACTCCTAATCCAAATACATCTTTAAATCCTATATTACCATAATTTATTATATATGTTAATAGATGGTGATAAGTGATAACGATTCAAGTTTTCAAATTCAAGATTTGAATGTATACCGATCGTAATATATATTATTAGGATAGTATTTTCATATATTTCACGTTATTAATTTCCTAATATAAGACACAAATTTAGAAATATATCTTATATATAAAACGAAGAAACGGTAGGGCAACTCTAAGAAACCCTAATGTCCTATTTGTAATTTTTTTATTATTTTCGATTTTAATTAAATTTTTATCTCCTAAATATTATTTTAAATATTATTTTCGAATTTTATCAGATTAATATCTCCCAAAGATTATTTTAGATTTTTATCTCCTAAATATTATTTTCGATATTCATCAGATTATTATCTCCTAAATATTATTTTTGTTTTTTATCAAATTTTTATCTCTTAAATATTATTTTAAATAATATTTTCGAATTTTATCAATTTCATATCTCCTAGATATAATTTTAAATATTATTTTCGATTTTTAGCAGATTTTTATCTCCTAAATATTATTTTCATTTTTATCGGATTATTATCTCCTAAATATTATTTTAAACATTATTTTCGATTTTTATCAAATTTTTATCTCCAAAATATTATTTTCGAATTTTATCAAATTTATATCTCCTAAACATTATTTTAAATATTTTTTTCAAGTTTTATCAAATTTTTATAAGATTTTTATCTCCTAAATATCATTGTCGATTTTATCAAATTTTTGTCTCCTAAATACTATTTTCGATTTTTATCAAAGTTTTATCTCCTAAATATTATTTTAAATATTATTTTCGATTTTTATCAAATTTTTATCTCCTAAATATTATTTTAAAATATCATTTTTGATAATTATCAAATTTTTATCTCCTAAATGTTATTTTAATTATTATTTTCGTATTTTATCAAATTTTATCTCATTAACATTATTTTAAATATTATTTTCGGTTTTTATCAAAATTTTATCTCCTAAATATTATTTTCGATTTCTATCAGATTTTTATCTCCCAAGTATAATTTTTTGATTTTTTATCAATTTTTTATCTCCTAAATATTGTTTTTAAATATTATTTTCGATTTTTATCAAATTTTATCTCATAAATATTATTCTCGATTTTTTATCAGATTTAATTTATATCTCCTAAAAATATTATTTTTCGATTTTTATCAATTTTTTTATCCCCGAACGAGCCCAATCACTCATATTTTCAGCCATAAATATATCTAAGACACAACAAATTAAATCTCCTAAATATTATTTTATCTCCTAATTTTCAGCCATAAACATCTCAACACTAAATATTATTTTTTGATGATAAAATACTAATTATCATATTCCCAAAGATGAAGGATTCCCAAAAAAATTCCTTAAGACTCTCAACACTTTTAACTTCTCTCTTCTACTTCAACACGTTTGTTTTTTTGTGTTTTATCTTCTTAATTAGTTGTATCCCACCTCTCAACTTCTCCACCCCAGTTTAATCTTTCCCCGTTTCTACGAAATGTTTGTGGCTTCATAAAATGTTAGCTATTTTGCAATTTGTTTTCTCTTCATAGTTCATAATAAATCTGATTTTCGATATTTACAAAAAGGGATAAATCTGAATGTCTGCAACATTTGAATTTTTATTTCTTCATCCTATCTAAGGCTTCTTCTTTTGGTAACCCGATTTTAGTATTTTTGTCTTATTTTCTTCTTCATCCTATTGACCGTGTGGTAATTAGTTTGCACCTTTTTCCATCATGGCTTATAGGTAATTTCATTTTGTTAAATTATGTGTTTCATTAATTTATACCAAATATTTCAAATTTTGTGTATAACAATTATTTGTTTTTAGATGTTATTGGACATGTTATTGAAAGGATGAGTTGAGAGAACTAAGCGAAAATGGGCGGAGCCACAAGCTATTGGAAGTCGGCCTTCAAGACCTATTGTTTGTATGCGATATTTAATTTATTTTTTATATTTATTTTTGTTTCTTAATTTTTCAATTGTTAATTCCAGTGGCAAAATAGGAGCAAAACGAGACAGTGGAGAATGGCTTAGTTAAAATGCAAGATGTATAGATGGCCTTTTACGTTAGTATGTTGTCGATAGTATAATTTTTATTATATTTTAACTAAGTTATTAAATCTAATTAATTTTAAGCTCAACATGAAAGACATAGTTGATGATTTTGTTTCTGATTCAATTTTTCAATCTACTGGTCTTAGCTGATTCAATTCATTTGGAAAATTATTCAATAGTAAAGTTATTTGTTTTTTTTTTCTTAGTATACTTAGTAATGTTTCACTGATGAATTATTAATGAATGATTATTACAAAATTTTGATCAAACGATACATCAAACGTTTGTTTATATTCTTACAGCATCAAAACAATGCAATTTGTTGTCCCGTGCATCGCACGTGTACAATACTAGTATTTATAATTGATATAAGTTGATTGCCATGTCTTTTGTGAAATACTAATATTAGGATTAAAATTATAATTACCATAATTAACATCGGTATTAGTATTTGTATTGATAGGTCTATCTACAATTTATTTATTTATTGGATCACGCGCCCAGTTCAGAATCTTTCGAATAAAGTTTGAGCCCGATAAATTGATATCAACCTAATCAAATAACTATAAATAAAACTTAATTCATTAAATTAAGGTACATTATTTTTACTAACAATCCAGCTATTAAAATTTTCTCGACTATTTCACGATTCAAATATCTGACTTAAGCATTGGAGGGACTTCCGCTGGATTATTTCGGGCTTAGTTTACATTTACTTTTTACACATTAATCACCAGAGTATTAGGGTGCCTCAAGACCAAGGTTGTAAAAAGCGGTAATCGGGTCCGAGTCGGTCAGGCACCGACTCACCGGTGATTAATCGATGATAAATCAGAATTAAATCGGTTTTTAAAATTTAATATAATATATTTCCAAATATTATTTATAAATACTCCAAACATATATAAAAAGATATTTACACATAGTTATATCTCCATCATGTATATATCCTAATAACATAATAAAAGTTTAATAATCATAATATCATAATACATAAATATCCTTATAAAATATAAATAAATAAACATTTTTTTTGAATTTACATTTATTCTTGAACATTCCTGGCATACATCATTAGTTCTTTAACAATAACAATTAACATAAAAAAAATAAGGCATAAACTCATATTTTCTTTTATTAAAATCCAACTTTTATTTTAAATTATAAAAAAAAATAAGAAAAAAAAAACCGATTTTTAACCGATTTTTGAACGATTTTTGCCATCGAGTTTGACCCGCCTTAAAGGTTTGACCGTCTCAGACCGCCTCGGACCGCCTCAGACCGCCTCACAGGCAAAAAACCGATTTTTCAAACCTGTACACTGAAATCTGAAAAGTTTTGGACCGCATCCGCCTCGGAGACCGATTAATCGGCCGCCTCGGCCGATTTTTAGAACACTGCTCAAGACTATCTAGCAAGTGAGTACTGAGTAGTGACCTGATTCATGTCCTCGACTATATCTACTATAGGTGATTATTACACGCCATCAAGTATATATAGGTGATTAATATCTATTATACTCGATTCATCTCTCCTATCTTGAGAGGAGGCAAAGTAGGCGGTCTGTCACGGCCCGCTAGTTTTGACCCAACCCCTTGCCAGTTTCCCTTGGGTTGGGGAGGTTAAAGAGTTTAAGATTTAGCCCAAATAGGGTTAGGCACAAGTTGGCCCAAATGTATAGAGCTAGGTAGAGGTAGGTGGTGGTAGGTAGAGACATTTTAGGGATTCTTTGGAGTGTTCCACTCCCAACCGTTAGATCATATCGATCTCCACCGTCCATTGAGGAGGTGGTCTTTTATAAATAGAGATAGGGTCCTCATTTGTAATCATCCAACAAATCCAACAAATCCAACAAGCACTAAAGTACCTTCTTACTGACTTAGCTATCGCGAGGGGCGAGAAGGAGCTAAGGCCGCACGGTTCTTTATTAAGGGAACAAGTCCGTGACAGGTCGCCTAGGGCCGCCTGATTTTTATTTTTTTTAATTTAGGGCCCACAATTTTTTTTACACCCTTTATATATTAGCATTTATTAAAAAAAAATATTATATGCAAAAACCTTCATTCATAAATAGATATTAAATGAATGATTGTTAATTGGGCTTAATTATTAAATTTGTCCAATCAAAATGTAGAGCCTTCTCTCTTTGACCTAAGGAAGTATAAGTAGCTATGACAATATCGTAGCTCGAAAATTTTTTATCATTGTATGGGTTGCCCCTCCTTATACATTCCAATGGGAGCACTTTGAAATGATTTGGTCGTGTATGGTCTTAGATTTCTTTAACACATGTCGATGCTCTTGGCCATACAATGAAAGTTGTTATCAGGGATGCATCCGTAGCAATCAAGGCCAACATGGTTAGGGTTGTACCATGTTCGTCAGCAAGAATTCTGCCTTCCAACACTCCGTTCCTTTCCCTGTTAACACACCATCCTAGAACCTGCTTTTGAGGGTAATACAAGTTACTTCTTGTTGATTATCCTCGGAAGATATTCCCTTTCCTGAAATTGCTATCCTGGCTTCGTCAAAGTCTGAAACCCTAGCATAAACATCCGTACGGCAGAGTCTTATCTTACGTTGATTTTGATACATATGCAGAGTTCCTTCTAGCAGGGTCAGGTGTGACAACTTGCATGAAAAAGAAAAAAAAAAGTTTAACAAAACAACGGATACATTTTTTTGTTAAATTATTGCAAATTTGCATTGAAATTATTAATGCAAATTCATCCATTTAACTCTATTTACTTCAAGAAATCACTAAGAAATACATAAAATTAAGAAAATTAACTAAAAATTGAGCAATAACTAAAGTTAAAAAACAATGCATGATTTAAATCATCCATTACAAAACTGAAAAATAAAAAATGTGTGAATACATGTTTCTATGTCCAATAATGGTAATGATGTCCGCATGAATATTAATAGGAATGGACGTGCAATGGGAGTTCAAAGACAGAGTTGTCGCCTTGTATGACGAAGTGAATGAAGAGCACTTACAGTGGTGTTTTGCTCTCGAGAGGTAGTAATGAAAATTCTAGCTCTTTGCATTTTGATCTACATTTATTTCTTAGATTTTGCACGAAAAAGTTTGATCATGTTTAATTTACTTTGTAATTGTAGGCTAACTCGATTGGTTTTCCTCTCTTAATTCTTCTTGTGCATTATAGTACATGAATTTTTAGTCATTGGGTCCCGACATGTAAGTATAAGATGTTATTATGATAAGTTTATGTTCTATTGTTGGTAAAAATGGCGGGAATGTTCAAAACAATTTTCCCCCAACTCTTGTCCATGAGTGACGAGACAAAGAAAGATCGATGAAACAAAAAGGAGTAATTTTAAAGCAACATCATTCTTACTTTTTTCCCCTTTCTTCTTCTATTTTATGGATTTGATATATAGACGGAGAATATGATCGAAATGCATTAAATGGGAGAGTATACGAATGTATGTGTAAAAAAAAGTTATTAATACTTTCTCGTTTATTGACATGATACTTTACAAGTTTTTATTTCAGGTTTAATGCCGGGGGAAACAGGCTAGGGGAAACAGGTACAATTATTTCTTCCATGTAAATAGGTTGTAGATCAGATGTGACAAATATTGAGTTAATTGCATAGACCCCCTGTGTTATTTTTCGGAAGCAAAAAAACCCCCCCGGAAAAAAAAATTAGCATATAACCCCCTATGTTGTGTTTTAGTCAGCCCACCGCCCCACCGCCCCTTTGTGCGCACTGGCTCGTTGACTTACATGAAATGACAAAATTGCCCTTAATAAAAAATAAAGCAAAAAAGACCTCAAAATGCCCCGCCCAGCTGCTGCCACTTGTGGTGGCGGCGCCGCCACCATCAGCCCGTGGTGGAGGCCGCCGCTGAAGACCACGGTCGCCATGGACGGCGGCACGAATTCCTTCGCCATGGGGTTCAATTTCGAGAGCACTCCAGCAGATCCCCTACCCTCCCACCCAACTCACAGGCCACAACACTCATCCACCGTTTCTCCACCCGGCCACCACCATCCCCCCCCTCCTTCACCATCAATAAACTTTACACGTGCCTCAAACCTTCACACAATGTCCTATTTTGACGGCGGTGGCGGCCACAAGGCGAGCAAGAGAAGAGAAAAGAACAAAAAGATGCAATTGTTGGACTAGCAGGTTCGGCCGTCAAACTCGTCGCCGTCGAGAGAAATCGTTTGGAGATGTTGTAGATAGGCCGTTGCTGTAATTGGGGCTAGGGTTAGCCTCGGGTTGTGCGGATTCGGGTCTGGTATGTGGATTGCAGAAGAGGAGGTGATGGTGTTGAACTTGGGGTCGGGGTTGGGGTTTGGGGGGTGGGGAACGGGAAGAAGACAATGATTTTTTTTTTTTTTTTTTTTTTTTTTTTCTAATGACATATAATATTTTTTCAAATTATTATTTTGCATTCTGGAAATTACAATTTGGTCCTATAAATTTAGGTTATTCATAATTTAACCAACAAGGTTATTTTTTATTTTATAAAGGGGTATTTATGATAAAGGAAACTGAAGGGTTTTTATGTTTTTTCCTGTCCTAAAATGTCCTAAAATGTCCTAAAACGCACGCCCAGCTGCATGAACCGCGAATGTATCCCACGATTCGCTCGTAGGGTCCTTATTGTCATTGACTTCCTTTCGTAGGGGGGTATTTGCTAATTTTTTTATCAGAGGGGTTTTTTTGACAATTAGACATTTCACAGGGGAGCCGAGTGCAAATACCCCGACAAATATTTGTTCTGATAAAAAGAAAAGTAACAATTTGCATAAAAAAAATAAAAAAAAAATTAACAAAACTAAAAATAAAAAACAATACATACCTTCCAGGGTAATTAAAAACCTGTCCAGCAATGGGGTTAAAATATTTGCCTGATGTGGCCTGACGTCACCGACGTATGCGCACCATGTATAGACTTCGATGTCGTTACGAATAATTGGAGTACGAACGAACTTAACTTTGGCTCCCTCTAAAGTCGTTGGCAACAACAATGTAGGGTCTGTCTTTACGAGAACGTCCAAGTATAGTGTAGCGACTTTAAGTAGCGATTCTTCCATGATCAAGAAAACTATTGAAGCTGTCACAATTTTTCTCAAACCGTAATAAGGTGTGAAAGAAACCCCAAGATTTGACTACAACGATCCAAAATGACCGTTTTATTTCCGATTGCAGAATGTGAGGTTGCTGATTTTTTTTTTTCTTTCTTTTTTGTAAATCTTGGCCGAAGAAAGTCAGGTTCTTGAATACAAATATACTCCCTCTGTCCCATATTATATGTCTTTTTAGGGAGTTTTTTTTGTCCCAAATTATTTGTCATTTTACATTTTCAATGAAGCATTAATTGCATTATTTTCAATTTTACCCTTAATCACTCCTAATTAACAAGTTGAGAATCAATTAATGTCGAGGATATTTTAGTAATTTTACCTGTTTTTTACTATAATCTATGCATATTTATTGGTTTTCTTAATATGTGCAAAATAACCCAAAACGACATTTAAATTGGGACGGAGGGAGTAATAAGGTGACGAGAGGGTTTGCTTTCCGCAGTTCAGTGGCTTCTTGGATAAACGTTTTTAGTTTTGTTTTTTTATATATATATACTAAGAGGCCAAAATCGTGTTTTAGGGTCCAATGAACAAGTAGGCCCATTTGATCTTTGGATCGATTTGATTTATAAGGATGAAAAGAAGACAGTCAAATTTCGTTATTTTCTGTATATTTTCAAATTACATTTTTGGAAACATTACAATTGTACTTTTATAGTTCACAAATTTTTAGGATCCCTAGTATATTCTGAAAAGATACTGATGTGTATAATTGGATTTAAGCCCAAGATGCTCAAATTGGCCCATCTAGAGGAAAAATCCAATTAACACTCTTAATTACATTCAACTTGTCCCACATTGGTTTTTAACAAGAAAACCACATCAAACTACACCTATAAATATGTGTTATCATACACATAACAAGGTAAGCACTATTTAGGCAATTAATTAATATTATTTGCTTATATTGTGATAGTTTTCTGACTTGAGCGTTGGAGGACAATCGCCGGGCCACCCCCGGCGTGTCACCTAGTGTTTTCAACTGTTTTGTAGGTTAACGAGTGGAGCGATCCCTTCGACTACCTCGGACGCGTGGCAAGGACTCTCGGCATTCCCGATATTGGGCTTGAAGATTCCCGGACTTAGAAGACCTGTGGGCTTCAAGACCATTGGGCTGACCCATCATTTTTGGAGCAGCATCATTTTGGCGCCGTCTGTGGGAAGGCGAACTAGATCACGTGTCATGACGAAGAGGATCAAGGCGATCCCAACCACTCGCCTCGAAGAGCGGAATAGTCTTAGAGCTTCCTCGATGAAGCGACGGAGTCTCAGAGCCGCCCCGAAGAGGGGAAGAGTCTTAGAGCCGCCCGCCTCGAGGAAGCGACGGAGTCTCAGAGCCGCCTCGAAGAGCGGAAGAGTCTTAGAGCCGCCTCGAGGAAGCGACGGAGTCTCAGAGCCGCCCCGAAGAGAGGAAGAGTCGCCCGCCTCGAGGAAGCGACGGAGTCTCAGAGCCGCCCCGAAGAGCGGAAGAGTCTTAGAGCCGCCCGCCTCGAGGAAGCGACGGAGTCTCAGAGCCGCCTCGAAGAGCGCAAGAGTCTTAGAGCCGCCTCGAGGAAGCGACGGAGTCTCAGAGCCGCCCCGAAGAGCGGAAGAGTCTTAGAGCCGCCCGCCTCGAGGAAGCGACGGAGTCTCAGAGCCGCCCCGAAGAGCGGAAGAGTCTTAGAGCCGCCCGCCTCGAGGAAGTGATGGAGTCTCAGAGCCGCCTCGAAGATCGGAGGAGTCTTAGAGCCGCCTCGAGGAAGCGACGGAGTCTCAGAGCCGCCCCGAAGAGCGGAAGAGTCTTAAAGCCGCCTCGAGGAAGCGACGGAGTCTCAGAGCCGCCCCGAAGAGCGGAAGAGTTTTAGAGCCGCCCGCCTCGAGGAAGCGACGGAGTCTCAGAGCCGCCTCGAAGAGTGGAAGAGTCTTAGAGCCGCTTCGAGGAAGCGACGGAATCTCAGAGCCGCCTCGAAGAGCGGTAGAGTCTTAGAGCCGCCTCGAACCAAAAGAACTACGGGAGCGGCCAACGAAGGTGGTCAAGGCGATCTCCACCAACCGCTTCAAGGTAACGCTGGAGTCATAGAGCCGCCTCGAAGGAAGAGAACGACGGGAGCGGCCAACCTTGCGGGATCTTCAGCGCCGGTCATTTAGATGACTGCAGACGAATTACAAGCCTTAAAAGAGTATCGCTCGACAGCCAAAGTTATTTCTCCGAACGAGCTCCTCGAAGAGGCTCACCACCACTCGCCTCAGTGTAGCGCATCCTCAGATCGTGAGCCTCGAAGATACGCTCGCCACCAATCGCCTCATCACAACCCATCATCGAACCACCCCCTTCGAAGAGAAGCTCGCCGCCGGTCACCACGCCCCGTGAGGCAGAGGGCTCCTCCTAAGGGAGAGAGAGGCGCATAGCCGTCGAGAGAGAAGTGTTTCTTCTCGGCCGGGTGTGGCACGCCATGAATCACGATATAACAGGAATAGCGAGCGCTCCTTTCGCCATAGAGACTCTATTGGAAATAAATTTGGAAGTAGATATTCCCAATCTGAAAAGAAAATGAGCCGTGAGGGCATTGATGACCGTAACTCAAGGAGACCTCGACGAAAAGCTTCGAGGCCAACGACCGCTCGCTTTGAAACATTCCCCGCTCGAATAAGCCCATTTGTTCCTGCCATTATGGAAGAAGTCTTACCTCTCGGATTTAGGATCCCCAATCTACCCCAATTTGACGGGACCGGAGATCCCCAAGAACAGTTAAATAACTTTTACGCCAAGCTTGACCTCTACGGCCTCAGTAACGCAGCTTACTGCAAGATTTTTCAGACTACGCTGACTGATCAGGCACAAGTTTGGTTCAACGGCTTGCCCGGAGGGTCCTTAGACAATCTGGACCAACTAGCGACACATTTCCTTAACCACGACTCAATGAATAAGAAATATGCCAAAACTGGATCGTATCTCTTCAAGGTCATACAACGAGACGGAGAGCCACTCAGAGATTACATACAACGATTTGTCAAAGCAGTACATGAAGTGCGCCACGTTACTCACGAGATGTTAGCCGGCATACTACAACAAAATTTGAAGCATGTTCGTTTTCGAGAGTCCATCGCGGGACGACCCCCTAAGACCCTGGAGGAGCTCTTGAACCGCGCTGGGAAGTACATACGGATTGAGGAGATCACGGAGATGAGAGTACCCCTTAAACGAAAGCGCGACGTGGAAAGCCACAACTATAATAGAGAAGAAGAGAGACATCCCATCGAACCTTCGGGAAGTTCTCACCTCAAGGATAAACTTCTTGACATGATGATCATCGCTGAGCAGAAGGGTATTCTTCAACCACCGAAAATGATGAATGAGAATCCAGAACGACAAAAGTCGGATAACTACTGTGAATACCACAGATATTGGGGTCACACTACTGATGAGTGCTTTCAGCTTAAGCAATCACTCGAAAGACTTCTCCTAGATGGGCACTAGAGCGAATTCCTAGAACAATCGCAATCCTGAAGAAATACTTTACTTAATGTTTATTATTGCCCCACGCGGGCTCCATGTAATTTCTTTTCATCAATAATTCGGGGGCAAATCGCCCCGCGCAATATTTCCAATCAGGTAATAAGTCGCTAGCATACCGCACCGCTCAATATTTCCAATTATGTAATAAATCGGCGGCACACTACCAGCCGCAAGATTATTAATAAACTATTTTAGCCGGTGGGATACCGCCGCCGTAATTTCTACATCAACCCTTTGTCTTCTGCACGCAGAGCATTGACAATCGATTTAACAAAAATTCAACAGATTCAAAAAGTAGCTAAATGGGAAGATATCAAGGATCACAAAGGGTCTGGCCAACTCGAACCTTGGTTTCTCGCTCCCAGAGCTCCAAAAAATAGAGCAACTAAAGCTCAAGGAAGTCTGATCTGCCATAAAAGTTCGTATAAAACACTTAGGCAAACGGACTTCTCACATAAAAAACTTGAGGGTCTGATCAACCGCCAAGTACAGAAATACGGACTCCCCACTAGGCAATAAAGCCAAGGGGTACCGTTTCACCTAGAAAGATAAAGCATAGCTCATTCTTCACAAAAATATGGACTTCCCACTAGGCGTTTAAGCCAAGGGATACCGTCTTCGCCAAAAAGATAAAGTAAAAGCTTATCCTTTGCGGGAACCGAGCTTCCCACTAGGCGATATAGCCATGGGATAGCGTCACCGAAAAAGATGAAGCATAACTCATTCTTTACAAAATGCGCGTTTTCCACTGGCAATAAAGCCAAGGGATATCACCCGCTAAGAAAACTAAAATAAGTCCTCGTTCTTGGTGAGAAACGGACTCACGATTCACAAAGTGTCGAAGCTTAATCTCAAGAAACAAAAAAAAAAAAAAAAAAAAAAAAAAAAAAACAAAAAATATATATATATATATATATATACAAATATAAAATTAGCACTTGACAGTAGGCAACACCAACCATTCCACAATCTTCCGCAAGATGGTGTCACCAGTACCTCGAATTTCGAGCCACATGACATCACAAATTCTCTCGCTGACGTCACGCAGCCTTTTGGCCAAGCACATGGCTAATGTCACGCTACCCTAACACTCAACAGCTCCGCCTCGATCCCCGCACCGGATGATATCACACTTTTTTTGGCTGACGTCACGGCCCACTCAGCCCACCTTTTTTCGAACGAGATACCGGGCCCATCCGAGGGGACCTAGAGCCGACCGAGTTGACTCGAGGAGACCCAGAGCCGACCGAGTTGACTCGGTCGGCTGCAGCTGCCCAGCCGCACGAATTTTCCTTACCGCGTGACATCGCACCGGTCTAATTTCCGAGTTGCGACCGCCCACAGTATTTTCCTTTTCTTGGAAAACGAGCATCAACACTCTCTTGCTTCTAACTTTCTCCAAACAACTCCGAATTTCGCAAAATTTGCACCGACAAATTCTAAATTTTTCACACTACAACTTGTAACTTCCAATATCGTGGAATTTCTCACGTGTTAAGACAATCTACGGATTTATCAAAACGCCACATTAACATTGAAGCCCGGTAAGTTTTTCGACAAAACTTCTAAGTACTTCGAGTCGCGAGACCAAATATTGAATTTCGCAACATACTCAAGCCTCAAAACGCACCCCACAACATATCGGCCCTCGATATTCTCATCCCCATTGGTACGAATCCGATTACAAAAATACGGACTTCGTACTAGGCGTTAAAGCCAAGGGATACCGTCCTACCAAAAAAGATAGAGTAAAAGCTTATTCTTTACGAGAGTCGAGCCTCCCACTAGGCGATATAGCCAAAGGGATACTGTCTCACCGAAAAAGATGAAGCATAACTCATTCTTTTCAAAAATGGACTTCCCATTAGGCGTTAAAGCCAACGGATACCGTCTTACCTAAAAAGATAAAGTAAAGGTCATTCTTTACGAGAGCCGAACCTCTCAATAGGCAATATAGCCAAGGGATACCGTCTCACCGGAAAAGATAAAGCAAAACTCATTCTTTAGGAAATGCGCGAGTCCGATTAGGCAATAAAGCCAAGGGATATCACCTATTAAGGAAGATAAATTAAGTTCTCGTTCTTGAAGAAAAACAGACTCCCAATTCACGAAGTCTCGAAGCATTTTCCAAAACAAATTAGCCATTGGCAATTTTTTCCGAAAAAGATAAAATGCAATTTCGGTATTTTCTCCTAACAGAAAAAAAGGGGGAAATACGTATTCAAGCGACCATTTCTTATTTACTCCCAGGCAGGTCCACGAGGCCGTGGCCCAACCTGGGAGTGGGGGGCTTAATGATGTGTATAATTGGATTTAAGCCCAAGATGCTCAAATTGGCCCATCTAGAGGAAAAATCCAATTAACACTCTTAATTACATTCAACTTGTCCCACATTGGTTTTTAACAAGAAAACCACATCAAACTACACCTATAAATATGTGTTATCATACACATAACAAGGTAAGCACTATTTAGGCAATTAATTAATATTATTTGCTTATATTGTGATAGTTTTCTGACTTGAGCGTTGGAGGACAATCGCCGGGCCACCCCCGGCGTGTCACCTAGTGTTTTCAACTGTTTTGTAGGTTAACGAGTGGAGCGATCCCTTCGACTACCTCGGACGCGTGGCAAGGACTCTCGGCATTCCCGATATTGGGCTTGAAGATTCCCGGACTTAGAAGACCTGTGGGCTTCAAGACCATTGGGCTGACCCATCATTTTTGGAGCAGCATCAGATACGTTTTTCTTCCTCGTAAGAAACTCTTGTGTGGTTTACGTCACTCGTATAATATGCAAGCTAATTTGAAATTGAAAAAAAATATATTATTAGAAAATAAATCATTTTGTTTGCTTCATTTAAGGCCCATAAATCACATGGTATGCACGAGTTTACTATTTATTTTATTGATTATTGTACTTATTGATTATATTTTGAATATTAATCAATACTTTCACAAAAAATAATCAGATAATATATATATATATATATATATATATATATATATATATATATATATATATATATATTATACAAACAAATAAATACTAAAAGAAATAGTAATGTATGGCCACTTTAGTGGATGTTGAAGTGGTATTCCTTATTTAACCAAGTATTGGGGAAGCCTTTTCTCGAGTCGAATAAATGCCTGCACGAATATTGCATGCCCCTATTGTGCTCATGCAAATTATATGATTTATAAGCCTTAAACGACTAACCAAATTATACTATATTGTTTAATACTTAATATAATACAATAATAATTATTCAAAATTACGAAAACTCCAAACAAAATTCAAAAATTTTAAACTCCAAAAAGAAGGAAAGTAAGCAAAATACAGTTGTTACTAATAAATTCATCGTTATCCGGACAAAACGTTAGGTGGATACGCATAATGAATTATCGTAAAACGAGTAAGTGCGCTGGATTTTGAATTTTAGTAGTAAATCAATATCCGTCGTTTGAAAAGGTAAAATAGTAATTAAATAAATATATTTTATTTAATTAAAAAAATATGAAAATGGCAAGAAAAGAAAAAAAATGAGGGTAATTTTGGACATCTATAATTATTTTTGCATTTTAAATAAAAAAAATACACTAATAAAATAGTAGTGCAGCATAAAAACACTAGGGCAATCAATTTTTAATTAGAACAAAAAAAATAGTAAAATACCCAATGTATACGTATATGTATATCTATATCTATACATACTGATACAGACATGTGTATATACCATACACGCCAGCTTCCCCAACTGGAAACTCGACAATAAAGTTTCTCTCTCTCTAACGAAATCTGAATCATCTCTCCTCCGCTTTTAGCATTCAATCAATTTTCCAACATCGAAACACAAGTCTTCGTCAATGAATTCGGATTCTCCTATATTATATACAGCAGCTACTCCTTTATTTATTCATGTTATCGGCAGATGTGTTTTCACTCTCACATTACCTAAATGCCCTCGCAGCAGAACCCTTTTAAATCATTCTGAAACCGTTTCATTAACTCGATTCAAATCCTCTTTACTCTCTCATGATCCTCCTGTTTCTATATCCAATTTTTCGTTTTTCTCTTGTTTGAATTCTGGGCCGTTCTGCTTTTTTCATTTTTGAGTTAATTGGGCTTTTTTTTCTTTGTGTAGAGAAGATTGGAAATTTACCCCCTTTTTTTATTTTTTCGTGTAAAACCAATGATTGTATGATTGTTCTTCGATTTTTGAGTTTAGCATGAATTTTTTTTTGTTGGGGTTTGATTCAACGTTTTATTTGTTATTCTTGATCCCCCTTTTCTTTTCAATCTTCAAAATCTGTTGATCTTTTTTTCTCTTTTTCCTTCTTTGATTCAAAGAAAATCCCTAATTTTTTTTTCTGGGATTTTGATTTAAATTGAAATCTTGACCTTTTCTGGGAAGGTCAATAGTTGGATTTGTTTGAATGAAGAGGGTTAATGAGAGTGTTGAGGGGGGGAGTGAAAACTTGGGGTTAAAGAAAGTTAAATTCTCCAACGGGAATGATGAGAGTTGTGCTGCATTAGATAGAAATGAAGCTGAAGAGAGGGTTTTGGTTGAGGATGGAGGGATAGATTCTGCACAAGTGGATAAAATCGGAGACCTCTCCGAAATTTTAGTCCCTGAAAGTATAGATGGTCTGTCTGTCGGTTGTGTCAAAGAGTCCAATAAATGGGACTTGGATTTAAATGTTGATTTGAGTTTGGGAAATGAGGAAGAGGAAAAAGGTCTAGGTTTTGATCTTAATTTTCCAGTGTGCACAACAAAGGACGTCGGGATAAGTGAGAACAAATCTGTGATTATCGACATCCTATCTGATGATAGCGACGAAGAGGTCGAGATTATAGGTTATAGTGGTGGTTATAATGAAAAGGGTAAACAAATCGAATCAGGGCTGCCCCATAATAGTGCGGAAACATTGAGTCTTGGCTTGGGAACGTACAGGATAGATGATGTTTTTGGTGAAAGTAGTGTTGTGAATGGTGGTGAGAGAAGATATACCAGGGAAGAAAAAGGGAAGGCTAGTGTAGTCGATTCGTGGTTATCGCTTAAGGCTAAAAGTCCAGTTGATTTGGATCTGCAGTTTCACTCTTCTGATGAATTAATCAGGATTAATGAGCCTAATGAAGATGTTGATGATGGAACATGGCAGTTAGCAGAATGGGCTCCAAGATCGGAGTCGGCTGAAAGATTGTTTAGACAAGAAGAACGAGCGTTAAGATTCAGAGAGTCATTAAACAGACAAGCTTTGAGAGAAACCGCTAAACGATTTGCTCGTGTAAAAAATTCAGATCAGAATAAAGTAAACGAGCCTTTGTCTTTTCTGAGACAAGCACCACTTTCAAGATCCGAAGTACAAGAATTAGGGAATACTCAGGGCCCCTTTTCTGAAGCTCTAAAGATGGTAAGGGAGAGAACATCGAAACGAGCGGCTAAGCAGTTGATTGATTGGAAACCCTGTTTAGAAAACCAGAACCGAAGCGCTACCGTGCCACTTGTTCCTTCGCTGTTGGATCTGTCTATTAGAGCTCTTGCACGAAATGCAGAGCGAATGGTGTCACTTGAAATGGTTCCAGATAACCTGCGTGAAAGACTAACCAACGTGTTGTGTGATGCAAGTAAAATGAATGTTCACGTCATGAGCCTTCTTGTTAAAGGATGCCCGACAGAGATACGCATAAAAAATTGCACATGGCTAACCGAAAACCAATTTCAGGAGACAATTGCAAATTGTGTGACAAGAGATTTGCAGGTAGACCATTCTTGCTTTTTTCTTATATTTGTAATCTTATATTTAAACTTGCCTTGTTGTGATGCTATGATGCTTCTATATACACGACCACATTTTATTCTCATCTTATATTTAGACTTGCCTTTTTGTTAAAGAAGTGAAGTATGCGTGCATATATATATATATATAACTCTTGGCTGTTGTCCGGTTATGATAATTATTGGCATGATCTGAAGTGATCAGGGAAACTGAGATTAATGAATGCCCAAGCTGCTAATTATCTTAGTATGTTTTGACATTCGCATAGTTTCTCTATATTTAACTCATGTTTGTTTAAGTTAATTTATGATTTTGTTGTATTAAATACATTAAATCAGTTGGAATTTTAAAGCTCTCTTTTCTCCTGCTAGAGTGAGAATTAGTTCATGTTTTGCCTCGTTTCCTTACTACTAAACCACATGTGATTATCATCTTGAAACAAACTATTTATGATGCATGTATTATGGATGCAGGTGCTTCAACTTGACCTGTGTGGGCGATTGATGCTCGACTTTTTGTTGAAGAATGCATTAGCCCAATCCTCAAATAGGTTTTCGAGTTTAGTTATTTTGTCCCTTAGAGGTGCTTGTCGTTTGTCAGACACTGGGATTATGCACCTGCTCGAGTCAACACCTGCAGTACGGTCTATTAATTTGGGTCAGTGCACCCTCGTAACCTGTGATGCCATCATCTTCCTTGCTAATTCGTTAGGACCAAATTTGAGGGAGCTGTATATAGATGAATGCCTCAAAATAAATGCAATGCTCACTCTTCCTGCATTTAAAAAGTTCAAAAATTTGGAAGTACTGTCAGTTGCAGGCATACGTACCGTAACCGATCAATTTATCTGTGAGGTGGTTAGTGTATGCGGTCATAGTATGAAGGAGCTCGATCTTGCTAATTGTCTGTAAGTTGATTTGATTAAATCCCTCTTCCTTATATATATACATAATTACATTCTAACCGTTCTTTACTTGATATGATTGCAGAGAACTGACTGATTACTCTCTCGGAGCCATTGGTAGCAATTGTGCTGATTTATGTTCGTTGAACATTTCAAACCTGCATAAGTTGACAGATTTGGGAATGGAGTATCTTGCAAATGGTTGTAAATCAATTCAGAAGCTTAAACTTTGTCGCAACGAATTCAGGTTACTATCAATTCCCCATTTTCTCTGTAGCTTAATGGAGTTGTACTGTAAATCAATTTAATTATAATTTGTTTGAATATTTTATAAAACTGTAGTTTCATTAATTTCTATTATTTTTCAGCAATTCACAGTAAAATATAATATGGTTTTTCTTCTTCATGTTAGTGATGAAGCTATGGCGGCATTTATAGAAAGCTCTGGAGAGTGTTTGACGGAACTCTTACTTAACAATATGGCAAAGGTATCGTTTCTGAAAACCAGCTACCTAGTAAATAAAGACTTATGCTGAAGCTTCGTTAAATTAAGCACTTCTCTCCCATTATTAAGCTTTGTTAAATAATTTCTTTCAAATTTTTGTTGGGTTTAAGAGTTTTATGGTTGTAACTAATAGTGGAACTTAGCAGATTGAAGCAAACACTGCGTTTTCGCTGGCCAAACGTTCAAGAAAGTTGTTGAGTTTGGATATATCATGGTGTCGCCGAATTAGCAACGAGGCTCTCGGATTGATTGTTGATAGCTGCTCATCTTTAAAGCTGCTCAAAGTCTTCGGTTGTAGGCAGGTATATCTTTGATGCATGAGCCTTTGAGGGAAATATCAGTATCAAGGATAGGGATCTTGATTTATTTACCTGGTTAATTAGAAAGAAGCTTAATTTTTGTGTTTGTGCAGATAACAAATGTATTTGTAAATGGACATTCGAATCCAGTGGTGAGGATAATGGGATTAAACTTGACTCCGATAATGGATCATCTGAACTTGCTTGCAACTGAAGGAGTGCTCTTACGCCATTCACCGATTCCATAAAGAATCGAATTTGACATCATCATCATCTGTGAAAAGCCCTTTTTTTACGGGTGGCTCGAATTATGTCATTTACTTATTATTTGTCACTAAACATTGCTAGCGCATAATGTGGCGTAAAGTACCCCCTTTTTTTTGTTCCTTGGATTACAGGGAGAGATACTGCTGATTTATGTTCTAGATGTGGATTAAATTCATCTGAAAATTATTCAATACCTTGAAGCTCTATTTAAATTGAATCCAACTATTTTTTTAAATACATTTTTTGGATATTTGCATGTTGTGATGAACTTTTAACTTCGAAGGGGCAAAGAAAAAACACGACTATCGACATATTCAAAACGAATGCAATATTATATATCTTGGATCATAGTGGTAGTTAAAAAAAAAATCAAAACGGGGAAGAGGTAAAAACAGCTTAAAGATCACCGGTGTGGCGCTTCGACTTGTTTGCAGAAAGCCTAGTCATCCACTTGTTCTGTGATGCAGTAAAGCGAGAAGGCATATCTTTTGATGCTTCCGTCGATGGTAGTTCAGCAGGCAGTGCAGCAGCTGTGCTTGTGAAGGCATTTAAAACGAGAAATGCTAGTACAGGTGATAGATCCAGTCCTCCGAGTGGTGGAATTAATCCTCGGAATATGTTCAAGTACGGATCACATAATGTGCTGAAAACAAAATTCGCAATATATATAAGCAATAATAATGTGATGCATTGAAAGAAAAAATAGGAAATGAGTGTTGTTTATTGTACCTAAGGGGGCTGACAACTTGCGGAGGAGCATTAGGGAACCAAGTCAATACGAGCCTTACGACCAACAAAGTGTTGTATATGTTCAAGAAATTCGAAAGCCCATTTGCTACCACAAGTCCAGCCATTGCATCGCCTGGTAATATGGCGGCAAAATTGGAATCCGACAGCAGTGGCATATTCCGGCGGTGCCTGATTGGAATCTGGAAACAAGAATACAGTTTTCAAGTTCACGTGTTCGTCCACATTATCTTAATTCTCGTATCAACAACAAATAATCATCAACAATTGAACACGGGACTGCAACAAATGTGTTCCGAGTTTTGCACAATACAAAAAATTCGGTGCAAGCTGAAAGCTATGCTCCCATGGTGCACATTTAATTAGGGCTTGAAAATTTAAAACAAACACCGTACTCGACGATTTGAGATCGATCTTTAAAAAAGCTCCTTCATTAACATAATGAAGTAATGAACCAATGTCGACCACAAATTTCAGTTCTAAATACTATGTACAAAAATCAAGCTACATGAGCTCGATTCGTGTTCGGCTCGATTAAATCTCGACTCGATTGCTTATCAAACGAAGCTCAAAACACATCTTTTAGAGCTAGAGGTAAACTTGACTTTCTTCATTGTTATGAGTGGTCTATAACAGTAATCAAGGAACTTAGATAAACTAGGAGCAGAAAAATCCTACCATTTGCAATCACAATTGTTCATTAGATTCACACGTGTCTCAAATATTGTAACACATCTGGGAGAAGAAGAAAAATATATATATATATACCTGGCAGCCATGTTGAAGATAAGAAGAAAATGACATTATTTTATCAAGGACCGAATTCTGGGACCTGAAATTAACCAGCATCTCGAGACATTTATCCACATTACAAGCAATAGATTTTTGCAATTCACGAACAACGTTCGAGGTTTGCGCGAGTAGTGGGAGGAAGTTGGGGTTTGGAATCGAAGCTTGTCTGAAAAATGGAGTGTTGTGAATGAAATTCAGAATGAGCGGCGGAGAAGAAAACGGCAGAAGTAGTGGAGCTGGGCCTTTTGATTGTTCGTCTTCTGATGAGTGCTTTATGGATAGCCAAGTATCCATTTTCGGTTTTTTTTTTCTCTTACAGCGAAGCGATAAAGTGTTGCAGGGGATAAACAAAGGTCGGAGGAGTTAGAACAAGGATAGATGGAAGATGATGATATTTGCAATTTGCCCCTTCTATGTTTGGGAAATTGTAGATCAAGGACAGTACTCTTTGGAAATTGCGTGACCACCCCCTTAGTTTCAAGTGGGCTTTGTTTATGGGCTTAGCTTCAAGTGGGCCAATGGATTATATTTGATATCGTAGTTCATTGCTGTCCAATTAAAAGACAAAGTCCAATACCCTTATAAAAATATAAATAATTTTTTTTTTACCCAGTGCACCTATATGCGAGTTGCTTCATTACAAAAAATAAAAATAAAACATACAACTAGTATTTTTTATTTTTTTATAATTAATGCTCAATTCACTAATTAAATGAAATTAAACATGACTTACTTCAAAATTGGCCTTCAGATGAATTTGGTACTAATGTAAGGGATTATTTTAAATGAAGGACATGTTAAACGTGCTTGGGAAAATGGACCCCGTAAAAGTGTCCCTAACTACAATCAGAAAAAGTTATTGAATCTACCTAACACCACAATAAATGATATAATAAAAATAAGAAATATATACATCAATTTTAATTATCACCAGCAGCCCCCAATTATGATCACATGCAATTCACACCAACACCATATAATATAATATAAGATAATAAAAGAATACAAATTGTCAAATTCCACGTTTGACCTTATCCCACACGCACCACATGTCGCACGTGCCTCCGGTGTGAAGTCTCGAGATCATTATTTCACGCGCACTAGTCATTTCACCGGCGTCGTTTCTCTCTCTCTCTTCTCACACACACTCTCTCTCTCTCTCTCTCTCCGGAGCCATGTCCACCACCGGTCTCCTCCGTTTCTCTCTCTACCCTCACACTTCATCTCTCAACCGCCGCTATGAGTTCCGACCTCTCCATCTCAAACGGCGCTCTTCGCTCCGTCCACATTCGTCGAAATTGCATAATTTCAACCGCGTTTCCTCGAAAGCCGTCGAGTTCAAGTCATCTGGCGAAATCCAACTGCAGGAGAAGCCAGCTCAGGAAGAGTTTAGTTCTACCGTGTTGCTTGATGTGTCCGGAATGATGTGCGGCGCGTGTGTGACACGCGTGAAGTCGATCGTCTCAGCCGACGAGCGCGTTGCTTCGGTTGTGGTCAATATGTTGACGGAAACCGCTGCGATCAAGCTGAAGGAAGGATTAGGAGAGGATTTCGCCGGCGTAGCGGATGAGCTGGCGAATAGAGTCTCGGCGAGCGGATTCGACGCGCGGCGGAGGGTGTCGGGGTTGGGGGTGGAGGCGAAAGTGTGGAAGTGGAGAGAGACGGTGGAGAAGAAGGACGCGTTGCTCATAAAGAGTAGGAACCGGGTGGCGTTTGCTTGGACTTTGGTTGCGCTCTGCTGTGGCTCTCACGGGTCTCACATTTTGCATTCAGTCGGTATTCATATCGGTCATGGTGAGAATTTCACGATTTTCCAGTTTTTAAGTTTGAAATAAATGTCCATTAGTCGATTATTTAAGCAATCCGTTTGAGTTTTCGTGTCTGCGGACTCAATTACTTTTGGTTTTAGCTTTAGGTTCTTAAAATTCTTCTGCCTCACAATATTTCATTTAGGTACAATTGCTTTTGCACAAGATATTAATTCTGTATTCAGGTGCTTTGTGACAACAAAAACTGTAATACCTTCAGCATCCAGAATTTGATTTGGGATTAGTTGATGTTGATTAACTTGGGATAATTCCAGAAACTTAGATGTACAAGATGCTAACATTGTTTGTAGCAAAAGCCTCTTGTTATTTATTGGTTTGGTGCGATTGTTCTGAGTCTTCATTTAATTGTTTTTTTTTTTTTTTTTCTGTCTAGGATCATTATTGGATATTCTGCACAATTCATACGTGAAAGGTGGTTTGGCTTTGGGCTCTCTATTGGGACCTGGACGAGGTTATCAATTTTTCACACTTGAACTTAATGTGTACTGTAAGAGTTATGTGCTGTCATTACTGGGTGTTTGCACACTTTTTCTGCTGACACTGTTAGTTATGTAATTGCCCAGACTTGCTTTTTGACGGTTTACGGGCATTTAGAAAGGGTTCACCCAATATGAACTCTCTTGTTGGCTTTGGGTCGATTGCTGCATTTGGAATCAGTGCGGTAAGGATGTAAATATATTGGATTGCTCTTTTCATGATGCTTCCAAATGATTTGCTGCTGGTTTGTGACTGAAATTCATTGACTATTGTATTTTCAGGTATCGCTTTTCAACCCCGAACTTCAATGGAATGCTACATTTTTTGACGAACCGGTATGGTTTGCTTTTAACTTATATTTACCTTTAAAACTTATTTCGTGACTATTATGACTTGTGGAAATTGCAATTAACTTTATATGCTGATAACTGTCCCTGGTTTAATATGCTAAGTTTCTCACTGGAATTAATTGATTTTTAGCATGCAGGTCATGCTTCTTGGTTTTATACTACTGGGGCGTTCACTTGAAGAAAGGGCTAGGATCAAGGCATCTAGTGACATGAATGAGCTATTAGTAAGTTTAACTGTTACTTGCAAGCTATTAGGAGAGCTTTCTCCTACTCCATGTTACGCTGAGTAGTGTTTTTCTTCATGGGTGGGTGGGTCGGGTCGCATTCGCACATCTGTAACATCAAATTGCGTGAGTTCACAAAATATACCAAATCTACATCGGAATACTCCGTGACACCTCACAAAATAAACTGTTCTGACAAATCAGAAAAATTGTTTGCTTAAATTTCTTGATGGAACTCTTTTAGCAGAATGTTTATGGACACAAGGTTGGACACGTCATTTATATGACAATCATTATGTACTCTTTTCATTGTTGATAATGTCTTGACGAAGTGTTAATTGGGTCCTCTTGCAGTCACTTATATCCACTAAATCCAGACTTGTGATTGCTCCCTCTGGTGGAAGTGATGTCTCTGCAGAAAACGTTCTCTGTACTGATGCGATGTGCATTGAAGTTCCCACAGATGATATTCGGGTTGGTGACTCGCTCTTGGTTTTGCCTGGAGAAACAATTCCTGTAGATGTAAGTGATTCTGAGTTTGAAATCCTCAGTATTAGATGCTATTACAAGTAAAAGTTCTAGCTACATTCAGCAGCACCATGTGTTGTATGTTGTAACATAGGTCTGCTGATCTTACTTGCTGTTTATTTTTGTCTATCTGATGTATGGTCTTTTAGGTTCTAATCTCGTTATTTTTTAAGGTTTGTTCTTAGTATCTCTCCAATCGACTAAGTACTGACAAGATACATGTTTATTTATCATAGCTGTAACCATTCTCCAAGCCTGTCTTGTGTACAGATTTCTTGTATTCAGAGTATTTCGAGATAAATCGGTAACTAAATATGTTGATCGTTCTCTTTTAATAAAAAATTCTAGTTATAAAACCAAAGAATACTATCAATTGCATTCCCATAAGATGCTTGCTGAAATTGGAGAGAATACTAGAGTTTAATTTTGTTTGTATATTAAATGATATTTGATGTGTACTTTCCTGCTTACACAAGTGAAAATATATCAATTAATGGATGAACGGGAAATTACCTGCACAGGGGAAAGTCATGGCAGGCCGAAGTGTGGTGGACGAGTCCATGCTTACTGGTGAATCTCTTCCTGTATTCAAGGAAAAAGGCCTATCTGTTTCAGCGGGAACATTAAATTGGGTATGTGGCTAGTCGGAATATTTTACTTCAAATAGTTGTATCCAATCTAGTGCTATGATGCTGTGCAATTATTATTTGTGGTTATATGTTTGTTGCAACATATAGCAAATTTGCATATTTCCATCTAGTCGATTAAGATTGGTTCTGTTGTAATTTTGTTCCTATGAATTTTCTATAATGTCTGTACATTGGTAGTTCTATGCTCGGACTGATGCTTTTATCCAAACTTTTCTCAGGATGGTCCTTTGAGGATAGAAGCCTCTTCCACCGGATCAAATTCAACTATATCCAAGATTGTTAACATGGTCACCTCTCTCTCTCTCTATGTGTGTGTGTGTGTTACGGGCATTTGCATGCTTGCATGCATGCATCTCTTTGGGATAGTGAATTCTCTATTACGTACTTTCATTTAATAGCTAATGGGTTTCAAATGTTGCCATATTTTTAACTATATATGTGAGCAACTTACATGCAGTTAGCTGGACTACTGAGAATGAGAATGGTGTAGTTGCCCTTTGTTCTGTATGACATTCTAATGGGTTTTATTAATTGTTCGGGCAGCTAATGAATTATATTTTGTTTAGAAGCTAAAGGATTAAGTTTCTTACTTGCATATTTATATGCATCTGTGCCCTAATATTTCTTGGTTTTGGTTGTTCGCTTTGTGGACATCTCATACGAGAGAGAGGAGCATTCCGTTGTGGATAGAGGCAGTATAGTTCCATTCCATCTGTTATCACTCGAGCTATCACTGTGCTCTAAACATTCATTGGAGGCCAATTTAGTCTTAATCTCTGGCCATGGCCTGGGGTTGAAGTTCGAATCAAATTCTAGTTTTCAGCTAACAACTTCTTTTCAAAGTATTTAACCATTGATATAAACTATTTATTTGTAATATTTTCATAGTGTTATTATTCGCATACTAAACTTTTGTTACATTATAAGCTATGTAAACTTTGTTACATTATAAGCTATGTAAACTTCTTGTGGTATTCTTCTGTAATACAATTGCAAACCTCATTATTGATTATTCCTTCTTTCTTGTATTGAAGGTTGAGGATGCTCAAGGGCGTGAAGCACCAATTCAAAGGCTTGCAGATTCAATTGCTGGCCCTTTCGTATTTAGTGTCATGACGATGTCCGCAGCCACATTTGCTTTCTGGTGGGTTTCTGCATATTCACTTCTATAGTTCAGACTTGTAAACATATAATTCTCAGTTGATGCCCAAATTATTAAAGTAATATTATATTTATAAACAATTTTCTCAAGTCAAAAGTGATGTAAAATGTAAATAGTTCTAGAAGTCTCTAGAGTATAGTTGAAGTAAAAAAATATTCGATACATCATACATGTTGACAGATACTTCTAGAAGTATTTAAATGCAGAGGTTGTTGTAGAGGTTGTTGTAGAGGTGTTTTCAGAATACTACATCTAGGAAGTAGTATGACTGTAAAGAAAAAATTAGGAGAACCAGAAACCAACATAGCTATAGTTGATAGTAGCACTTAATACCAAAGCAAGTTCAATTGGATAGCAATACTGGAACTTCCCCGAGGCTACATTGCTATCCACGTCCATAAGAAAAGAACCATTAGTTGGTCGCTGGTCTTATGGTAATGGTGACTATCTGCTTCATTTCCAATGCGTAGTAGTTCTCAAGTGTAGGAGGTGCTTTTAGCTTTGGAAAGAGTCTGCGTGCCCGTATAGGTGGCGGGCCAGTATAGTTGTCTTTCTGGTAATAGTTTTAGTTGCAGTTAAAGAAAGCAGGAGCTGAAAGCCACTTCGTCGAAATCGTGGACCTTCAGATGGGAAAAGCTATCGGATCCATGAAAGTCAAACCCAACTCCCATGTCCGGCCTCCCATTCGAAAAAGGATGATATGAAAAAGATGGATTCTGTCCTGACGAGAAAAGACAAAGAAGCCCGTTCTGCTCTCTCTTTTTCAAAATTGGGTCGAGGGAAGAAATCGGGTGGCTATACATTATACACCACCAAAATTTAACCGATTCCTTAGCGCAACTTAAGCAAAATCTCTGGCCCTGTTTCCTTCTTTCGTTTAGTTTTCGTCTTATTGTGTAAAAAACATTCGTATTGTACTCTATATGGTGCTCTTTGGTGTACTCTTCTATCTAGATATAATTGAGTAGCTGACATTGTGCTACTTGCCTACCGTCCAAGTTAACTACTATCCTTTTTCTCAGCCAAGGCTTTGGTCTATTTTTTCCTTACGATTTTGATGTATAGATTAGTTTGACCTTGATACGCTGTTTCAGGTGTCTCATTTATATTCTATGCGCTTTGACGATTGCAGCTTCTTTCTGCAGGTACTACATTGGAACTCATATATTTCCAGACGTGTTGCTTAATGATATAGCTGGGCCAGATGGAAATTCACTGCTATTAAGCATGAAGCTTGCCGTAGATGTTTTGGTGGGTAATTGTATTATTGTTATTCTAGCTATTTGATATTAGATTCCTGTTTTGACTGAAAAGCTCGAAGACATAATTGTCTTCTTTCAGCTATCATTCTTCTGTCTCTTTTCCTGCTTCTTGTTGATGGTTTCGCGTTCATAGACCTTGTCTCTTGTCTTCATCTCTTCCTCTATTTCCATCGTCCTTTGCCGTTCTTCTTTCGATTGGCTAACTGTCCAGAAACTGTGGTAATTTTTAGTAATTTGTTCTATTAATCACTTTCTCCAGATTTAGGGTACTATCCCATAGACAGAATTCTTTGTGCGTTCTTTGTGTTCTTACTTACTTTGTGTGTCTTCATATTTATAACTACTGTTCATGAGAAATTTGGATAGAAAGAGATAAATGTTGATCTTATTCTATTTTGTAAAATTGAGCCATTTCTGTTTTCTGTCTTTCTGGCATGCCTATGAACAAAAAATTGACCCCATAGTGATAGGTTCAGTGTATTTCAGAGTGAGACTGCTGGTCACATGTCGTCACAAATATACCAAAGCACATAGCTAGAAACAGAAAATATACATTCCACGTGCATTGGAAATTTGAACATTGATGGAAAAGCTTTGATCGGAATTAGTTATCTCTTCATACCTTCGGGACAGTGCCAGATAATATAGTGACTATAATTCTTTACATGAGACAGATGGCATTGTTTATTATTAGCCTTGCCTTCATTAAATATTATTTTATTTTCCAGGTTGTTTCCTGTCCATGCGCTTTGGGCCTTGCAACACCGACGGCAATTCTAGTTGGCACCTCCCTTGGTACTTTATTTTACAGCATATATTTTCATTTTAACTTCAGGAACCTTATCTCTTCATTGTAACTCTACTAGATTGCTAATGAAGTGGGGTTATCTAGCCTTGATTATTTAGGTCTCATATTGACTGAATCTTGCTTCCGCGGGACTTAATGCTGCTGTTTAAATGCTACTGTTGTAATCATGACCTACATTCAGTTTGCGATCAACTTTTTGCATAGAAATATCTAGAGAACTCCAGTATGAACTATTTGCCAAGTTCACAGAATATAGTAATCAATTGACATCTTGGATTTCTAATATATACTCGGGGAAACGTCAGTTGCAGGTGTCACTGTGACTTAAGGGATCTTAAGACAAGTCGACATAAAAAACTTGGAGTGTGTGAATTTGATCTGAGTTACTTCGTAGTTCTGGGTTAAGTTTCTAGTAGCTTACCTTTTCTACATTCGCTTGATTTCAGGAGCAAAACAGGGTCTTCTTATCAGAGGAGGAGATGTATTGGAACGCTTGGCAGGGATAGATTACATTACTCTGGATAAAGTAAGTACTAAAGCATACCCTCTTCCACATGTGACATGCTTTTACTTATAAAGTTGTACAAAGCTGCCGGGTACCCATCTATATAACGAAGAAGGTGGGACAAAGGAAGTGCAACAATACCCACTCAAATTGACTTTTTTGTTCAAATTTTGCTATTCAGACGGGGACTCTTACTGAAGGAAGGCCTGCCGTATCAGCTGTTGCATCTTTAGGTCATGAAGAATCAGAAATACTTAAAATTGCCGCTGCAGTGGAAAAAACAGCATCACATCCACTTGCGAATGCTATTATAGCTAAAGCCGAATCATTGAATTTGAATATTCCTAGTACAAGGGGTCAATTAGCTGAACCAGGTTCTGGGACCTTAGCAGAAGTAAATGGGCTTTTAGTGGCAGTTGGCAAATTAAGTTGGGTCCGTGAGCGTTTTCAGCCGAAAACAAGCCTCTCGGATATAAAGAGACTTGAACAGACTGCGATACTTCAGTCATCAGCAGAGTATTCATCATCTAACTATTCAAGAACGATTGTTTATGTTGGTAGGGAAGGAGAAGGCGTCATTGGTGCTATTGCAATATCAGACAATTTACGATGTGATGCTGAATCCACTGTAAATAGGTATTATTGTTTTTCCTAAACCTAATGCTCAAAATTAGCATGGTACAAGATTCATTGTTCGAGTGTTATAAATGGTTTCTTATTTTTCTTTCCTAAAACAGGATACCTCATACAAGTTCTTTCCTCAACTAAAACTAGGGCCTCTCTCCTAGGCTTTAGATTTCTGTTATGGAATCCTGTTTATACGTTGAATTATGCTTATGTTGTCTTTTGACTTCTCTGTCATTTCCTTTTAACCAAATGCATGGGGAATGTTCAAAATGGAAATGATGAACCTGCTTCTAGCTTAATTGAACTATTGGCATTCCTGTAGTATATTTTCTCTACAATTATTATAAAGTTTCCCTTAAATCTTTTGAAGGCTTCAGCAGATGGGAATTTGTACAGTCCTCTTGTCAGGGGACAGGGAAGAGGCAGTTGCAGAAATAGCAAAGACAGTTGGGGTAGAAAATGAATTCGTCAATGGTTCTTTAACACCGCAGCAGAAATCCGGCGTTATTTCAAATCTTCAAGCATCAGGCCATCGTGTGGCCATGGTAATTATCTATTACCTTTAGATTAATGTATAAATCTATGTCTCCTGCAATTTGATAAATTATAACCGTGTTAGACTAACTTATATTTCTTAAGGTCGGGGATGGTATTAATGATGCACCGTCTCTTGCACTTGCTGACGTTGGGATTGCCTTGCAAATTGAGGGACAAGAAAATGCAGCATCAAATGCAGCATCTATTATACTCTTAGGAAATAGGCTATCACAGGTATGCATTTGCCTCTAGTCCTCCATTCATATATTATCGTATTCTAATTCAGAAGTATTAAAACATTATGTATGGGATACGCGACAGGTAGTAGAAGCAATTGACCTTGCAAGAGCAACAATGACAAAAGTTCGTCAAAATTTGACATGGGCAGTTGCCTACAATGTTGTAGCAATTCCTATGGCAGCTGGAGTACTACTTCCCCATTTCGATTTTGCTATGACACCTTCACTTTCAGGTACTTCTTTAACAGCATCTCCTCTCTCTCTCTCTCTCTCTCTCTCTCTCTCTCTCTCTCTCTCTCTCTCTCTCTCTCTCTCTCTCTCTCTCTCTCTCTCTATATATATATATATATATATATATATATATATATATATTATTCATGACATGTTTGTTATGGCAGGGGGGATGATGGCAATGAGCTCAATCCTTGTAGTGAGCAACTCACTGCTTCTGCAGTTCCACAAGCCTCAAAAGAAGAAAGAAAAGAGCGAAAACAACTTTTTTTCTCAATAAAATAAAATATTATCCGACAGGTAAGTTTGCTATCTCTCTCCTTTTCTTTCAGTAATTATTATCGACAATGGCGAATAACCAATAACCGAATTTGGATTTTCTTTCCCTTTTTTTTCCGTAGAAGCAGAATGGAGAATTTCTTCAAAATTCAATTGATTGAAACAATAAAAGCGTATGGCAGGGAGGAAAAGGTTAGAACAATCTCACCATGATGTGAAAATTCCAACTCTTTGATGCTATTTATATAAATAAATAAATAAATAAAATTGTTTGTACCACTTAAAAGTAGAAAACGTCGATGTTTAAAATAATATATTATAAATGAATGGAATAAGTGTCTCTGTTTGTGCGGGAAATTAGATGTTACACTACACGTAATCACTATCACACACATAAATGTATAAGTGTGGTTAGCAAATAATTATTTAATCAAATCTACGGTTCAAACCCACCCGGTGCAGCATCTAAACCACCATGTTTGTGCCGTTCATGTTTTGGAGATGGGCCTACCTACGGCTACAAAAATCACAAAATCTTGAATTGAGTCATTAAATAGGCACGTGACTATCCTTGTTTCATAAACGATTTGCATGTGATCATTGGACCCATTAACGTTCTCTTTCTCGTTATAGAAATAAAAAATACAATCAATTTTAATTTTCGATTTTCGATTTTCTTTGATGATTGTTTTTTTGTACATAAATTCGGCCATAGTGGAGCGACCCACTGGACTCTGTATAAGGCCCAGTGGATGAAAAAATATCCCGTGGTGGCGAACGACACTATTCCGTTTGAGCTGTCACGTTTCGAAAATGCACTGTTCGATGATAAAATTAGTAATGCCATTGTATTTCCGTTTTTAGAAGTATAATATATCCAACAAGTAAACATGTATGAAAGTGACTTTTCAATTTTGGATCTTATATTCAAAACACTTCAACTTCAAATTATTTACTGTAAAAATGTTCTTAATTCCCAAACCTTATAAGCACACAAAAGATACTTTGGAGACGAGTGCTTGGACATCGACATTTAACGGCGTTAGAAGATCCGTCAAATGGGTGTTAGTTAAGTTTCATCAGCCTTTAAACGTTGGACCCACTAAACTCTGTCGTAGGACACAACATATTATGGCCAAGAAGAAAAAGTAACTTTCATTTGACGGCAGGTTAAAATGTTGGGGTATGATTGTAATTTGATGACTTTTGATATAGATCTTCAGCACTGATATTATTGCATTCTCACCCTTAAACGTATCCTATATTACAATCCCACTCTTTGTTTGAAATAATAAGAGTATAGGGAGTAATAAGTAATTAAACATTTTGGCTTGGCTAGTTGGTGGTGGGTGATATTGATTGACTGCAAGAGAACGTGAGATTGCAGGTGAAATAATGGATGAACTGAGTCGACCATTAAAAGGGCAAACATGTCCATAAATACAAATAATGATGATACTGGAGTTCCATTATTAGAAACACAAACAAGTAAGCTTTTAACTCCATTGTTATCACTATATAAGCCTTATACTACATATTAACACCTAATGATTAATTTTTAGATCGACTGTCACAAAATTTGTCCTGTTTACATGTAATTACGAAAAAATTCCTCTTGTTTGGATAATTACAATCACCCCCAACTATGAATTTTTTGACACGTGGATAACCCTTATGGATTTTTTGACATTAAACAAAATCTTCTAGATTTCCTGAAATGTTCTCAAGTTTGTACTTGTTTTGTGCAGAACGCAATTTCTGATGCACCATAATCTGATATTTATAAGTTAAGAGACATATTTTATAATTCATCTTGTTTTAAAAAGTGGAGCATGAATGAAGTAAAACGCGTACAAACAGGAGAATATTACACATTATCTTGAACATTCCTGTAAGTTTGACACAACAAGGGTAGGCGTGTAAGAAGATCGATAGTTAAGAGGAGTGGTTGTAATTACTCAAATGTGAGGGATTTTTTCGTAATTTAACTTTGACTTAGGAGTATAATTAAATTGGAAAATTGGGCCAAACAGAAAATTGTGCCAAACGTAGTTCAAAGTTAAGAAAAAAAGAAACTTGTGTGATGAAAGAAATCATATACAGAAGAAGTTAATGATAAAACTGCAGTTAAGAAGGGAGGGTAAATAATGAGTTGTTGAAATTTCTACCCCATAGTTGAAAAATGTACGGTGCAGGGTGCAGCATCATATCAAGAAAACAAACAAAAAACTCAGTAGCTTTTCTCACACTTACCCAATGAATAATGACTGACTTGACTTGCACCAAGTAGGAATATTTACAGTGTACAGATTCCTAGGCTGTATGGGGCGTTATCATCGATATATATATGTATCAACTTTAAACGGTTACACAAATATATATATATATATATATAGATAAGATTTGGTTTAGTTAACAAGAGAGAAGGTTCAAGTGTTCTTTTGTCAACTGATCAAGAAAATGTTTGATCTTAATTTGAGTAGTTGTTTACTTGTTAATCATATGAAAGTAGATAAAGATTGGGTTTTTTTTTGGTACCCTTCACATTTAATTTCGTAGAGCTTTTATGGTTGGAAATACATGTACATGTACTAATTATTTTGTATGTATACATGTATAGAGAGAGAGAGTAGAGAGAGAGAGAGAAGTGTCAAGTGTGAGGGCCTGTAATCTGCTGCAGGGACTGGTATCAGAACCTTGGCAGATGGGTCTTTTAACTTTTTTCCCTCTTCAAAATAATTTCTCCATTTTCTTCCTCCAAATAACTCATCTCTCTCTCTCTCTCTCTCTCTCTCTACACATTTCAACAACATGCATTATTTGTACTGTTCTTTTTCTCTCTCACACACACAGATACACACTCAAACACACACACACACTCTTGCAGAGCTCTCTGGCAGAACGATGTGATTGAACATTACAACTAAAGCCATCATAGCCCTGCTCTTCTCTCTTTCTCTTGTCACATTTTCCCACATCTTTTCTTGACTAGTAGTAATAATTCAAATTCCCCTTCTTCTTCTTCTACTACTCTCTCTCTCTCTCTCTGTATCTATGTCGGTGAATCCAGGAGCACTCCATGATCTGATACTCTCTCTCACCTTTTCATTAACAACCCCATTTCATCTTACATCCATTCAAACAAACCAAAATTAAGGTTTATAGCTAGAGGGTTTCGTGATGTAAGAAAAGAGTTTTTGGCTTATTTCCAAATTTAAGGTTGTGATTGTTCTGCAAACTGGTCTATGAGTAGTGTGTGCTATCAGCTATGGCTAATTCTTGGAAAATAAATATTCTTGCTGGAATTCTTGCAGTGTGCTTGAGCTTTGCTTGTGTTGATTGTGATGAAGGTTAGTGTTGTTTGGTTTGTGTTTTTTTGCAACCCTTATTTAAACTTTAAAGCATGCTGCACTTTGAGTTAATTATTGATTTATTTAACTTTTTAAAAGAAGCTTCTTTCCTTTTTTGTCTTTATTTTAAGTGAGTTTAGTACCTAAAGTACAGTTTACACAATCTTAATTACGTCATTATGTCCACTAAACCCTTTTGTCTTTATCTTATTTCTTCCCCTTCACTAATTTTAATCTATAGAATTTTTTTTATTGTACTGTGGCTGATATTTTCATTCTACTCTTTGGATTTTGTATGTGAAAAAAGGTACTATTTTGGTGGAGGTAAAGAAATCATTTAGAGACGTGGACAATGTGCTGTATGACTGGACTGACTCACCATCTTCAGATTGCTGTGTGTGGAGAGGTGTCACATGTGACAATGTCACCTTCAATGTGCTTGCTCTGTAAATTTCTTTCTTTCTTTTTTTGTAATTTTTTTTAATGATCAATTTTGGGACTACATAAGTTAATTATCTTTCTTGTTTTATTAGTTTATTTTGTTAAAGATTTGATCTTTACACTGTACATATGATGCAGAAATCTCTCGGGTTTGAATCTTGAAGGGGAAATTTCGTCTTCGATAGGCCAGCTTAAAGCCCTTCTCACCCTGTAAACTCAATTTTTTCCCCCATTTTTTGGTTGCATTTTCTTTAGTAAGTTTCATTAAGTTTTGTGGTCTTCTAATAAAAGTGATTGTTCTGTTGTGTATCTAAATTTAAAACCAGTGATCTAAAGGGGAATCGTCTCTCCGGACAAATCCCGGATGACATTGGAGACTGTTCATCTCTTATAAGCTTGTAAGTTAATGTTTAATCGTTCAATTGACTACAACATTTTATTTCAACACTTGTCCATTAGTATAATATTAGTGGATATTATTATCATCAGGGACTTATCGTTCAACGAGCTATATGGAGATATTCCCTTCTCGATTTCAAAACTCAAGCAACTTGAGAATTTGTAAGTCGAAAACAATCTGCCATTCCCTATACTATTATGATTTCATTTCACGCTGATTTACACGTATTTGTGGTGTACAGGATTTTGAAGAATAACCAACTGATTGGTCCAATCCCCTCGACACTTTCTCAGATTCCTAACTTGAAAATTTTGTTAGTAAAAATGTTTTAATTTCACGGTTTCATTTTCTTTTTAGTTATTAATTTTCTTCCAAATTTGATTGCTACAGGGACTTGGCCCAAAACAAGTTGAGTGGGGAAATACCAAGACTACTATACTGGAATGAAGTTCTACAATATATGTAAGTTTAATAAACTAGCACATAATATATTTCTGATTATTAGATATGGATTAATATTGCAAATTATAATCCTAAAAACTTATGTTTTCGAATAGGGGGTTGCGAGGTAATAATCTACAAGGTACACTCTCTCCCGACATGTGTCAGCTAACGGGTTTGTGGTACTTGTAAGTTTCGTATCACTGTTCTCATCACTTAAAATTCATAAAGCTGTGTTCTTTTAGGACAATTTGCTGATTAAACTTGATATATTATTATTTATTACAGTGATGTTAGAAATAATAGCTTGAGTGGTTCAATACCTGAAAATATCGGCAATTGCACTGCCTTCCAGGTTCTGTATGTACCTTACTGAATACTATAAATTTTCAATTTACCAAGTCATTGAAATTGTTAAGCTTACTCAATTTTCTGTGCATGATAGGGATTTATCGTACAACAATTTCAGTGGCGAGATTCCGTTCAACATTGGGTTTCTACAAGTTGCTACCCTGTACGTATACGTCTATTTTCGACTTTCATTTGATTAAAAAAAAAACGTAGTACATTTAAAGACTGACGCATATATTATTAGGTCATTGCAAGGTAATCGGTTCTCTGGGCAAATCCCGTCTGTTATTGGTCTGATGCAAGCACTTGCAGTGTTGTAAGTGTGCCTTTAATATGTTTGCTTTCTTATTTTAAATCATTTCTCTTGTTTGATGTTTTTTTCTCTCTGCATGCAGAGATCTAAGCTGCAATGTGTTGAGTGGGTCCATACCACCGATTCTTGGAAATTTATCTTACACTGAGAAACTGTAAGCATTGTACAAGCTACATACGTATTTATACAGTCCACTATTTTGTAATTTGTATTTTAATTATGATAGTATTTCTCGTGAAGGTATCTACATGGGAATAAGCTAACCGGCTCTATTCCTGCTGAGCTTGGGAATATGACAAAGCTCCATTATCTGTACGACCCCTTGTTTAGTTTGTTCGTACTCTTTTTAATTATATTACACACGGGCGTTTTGTTTACAATTTATTATGTTGAAGAAAGTTTATACTATGTAATTACTGTTTAACATAACAAACTTTGAGGATAGAAGTTGCTACGTCCCTTTCATGATTCTGATGTATCGTAATCTTGTTTAAGTGGTTTTTTTTTTTTTAGGGAATTGAATGATAATCTTCTCAGTGGGCATATACCATCCGAACTAGGGAAGCTCACGGATTTGTTTGACCTGTATGTTATTTTATCTTAAATAATCTCTCACTTGTTTTAGTATTTACGGATCAGCAAAAATAAGTTATTCTTACACATCTGTACAGAAATGTAGCCAACAACCACTTGGAGGGGGCTATACCCGATAATCTCGGCTCTTGTACAAATCTGAATAGCCTGTGAGCATCTTTTGCTATATTTTTTCGATTAAGTAGTTGTTTCTTTCAGATATAATATTTACTGTAGGGTTTGCTGACAGTAATGTGCATGGGAACAAATTGAGTGGGACTATTCCCCGAGCATTTCAAAAGCTCGAAAGCATGACTAATCTGTGAGTTCAATAAATTTCATTTTTTTTCGTTCTTTATTTCAAGTTGTTTCCTCTTACATTATTATGATCACAATTGTCAGGAATCTATCTTCGAACAATCTCAAAGGCCCAATTCCAATCGAACTATCTCGCATTGGTAATCTGGACACTTTGTAAGTGCTTCGCTTGCTTATTTCGAATACAATTTTGTTCTTCTTTTGTTAGTGGTTCATTATTTTGCCGTTTTTTATAATAGTTTTCTATTTTTAATTTTTCTTAGAGACCTTTCCAATAACAAAATCAGCGGTGAAATGCCGTCTTCTCTTGGTGACTTGGAACACCTCCTTACGCTGTGAGTGCGCTTTATATGGAGTTTCGTAATTAGTACATACAGTATTTTTGTATCTCACTCTCTTCTTTTTTTCTCAACAGAAATTTAAGTAATAATGCTTTGACTGGGATCATTCCTGCTGAGTTCGGTAACTTGAGAAGCGTAGTGGAGATGTAAGAAATAAACGAATTTGGACTTTTCTATTCTCTCTCTCTTTTTTTTTTTCGGGCATTTTTTAGATGGAATTGCAAAATTTTGAATATGCTATTTTCGTGCAGTGATCTCTCGAGAAACAACCTTTCCGGTCCCATTCCGCAGGAACTCGGTCAGCTTCAAAATCTCTTCTTGCTGTAAGAGTTCTTTCTGTTTATGTGTACACAATAACTTCGTGTCTTATTATACCTATGTCTTAGTGAGAAGTTAATCAACATTTTTTTTGCAAATTTGAATAATACAGGAAGCTGGAGAACAACAATATATCCGGAAATGTGATGTCACTAGCGAGTTGCCTCAGTCTTACAGTGCTGTAATTCCTCAGACAAACGTCATTGACTTTATTTATTTATTATCGATGTTATTATATGAGTTCGAACTTATTCATGTGTTTGCAGAAATGTATCGTACAACAATCTTGCTGGTTTTATTCCCACCGGAAATAACTTCTCTAGGTTTTCCCCAGACAGGTATCCGCTCGTCTTTCATTCCAATGTTTATTATTTTCTCCTCGTATTTGTATTTATATATTATTTTTTCTCCATTTAGCTTCTTAGGGAATCCAGGGCTTTGCGGGCACTGGCTCAACTCTTCTTGCTATTCACCTCGGCCAGCCCAACGAGGTGATAGCAATTATTCGATTAGAGATTTTTTAATTTTTTTTTCGTGCTTATTTTAACTAATATTCAAAGTATCACATTTTACATGCAAATGATTGCAGTTACAATATCGAAAGCAGCTATACTCGGAATCACTCTAGGCGCTTTCGTTATTCTGCTTATGATCTTAGTTTTAGCTTGTCGACCGCATAAGCCTAAACCATTCATAGATGGCCCACTTGATCACAAACCAGGTCTATTATTGCATTATATATATATATATATATATATATATATATATATATATATATATATATATATATATATATATATATATATATATATATATATATGTGTGTGTGTGTATTATTTAAATACTATACACTAATGTTTTTTTTTCTTTACATTACAGTGAGTTACTCATCTCCAAAGCTAGTCATCCTTCACATGAACATGGCTCTTCACGTGTACGATGACATCATGCGAATGACGGAGAATCTGAGCGAGAAGTACATAATCGGTTACGGTGCATCGAGCACCGTGTACAAATGCGTTCTGAAAAACTGCAAACCCATCGCTGTCAAGAAACTCTATTCTCAGTACCCTAATTGCCTTAAAGAATTTCAGACAGAATTAGAGACAGTCGGGAAAATCAAACATCGAAACCTAGTCAGCCTCCAAGGATATTCCCTCTCCCCTTCTGGAAACCTCCTCTTCTACGACTACTTGGAAAACGGAAGCCTCTGGGACATTCTTCATGGTGAGTGTATTCAGTTGCTGAGTCAGCATATTTTAGTTTTTATAGGAAATTGTTATTTTATTGATTTATAAATGGCCGTTTTTTTACAGGAAAAGCTAAGAGGAAAAAGCTCGATTGGGAAACTCGTATAGGTATAGCCCTTGGTGCTGCACAAGGGCTGGCCTACCTGCACCACGATTGTAGCCCTCGAATCATCCATCGAGACATGAAATCTTCGAACATTTTACTGGACAAGGAATACGGGGCCCACCTCACTGATTTCGGCATTGCTAAACGCTTGTGCGCATCTAAAACACACACTTCAACTTGTGTAATGGGAACAATCGGTTATATCGATCCAGAATATGCTCGAACTTCTCGTTTGACTGAGAAATCCGATGTGTACAGCTACGGAATTGTTCTCCTCGAGCTTCTCACTGGAAAGAAAGCCGTTGATGATGAATTGAATCTCCATCATATGGTACAATTTTTTTTTTTATTTTTTTTTAATTTAAATTAATTTTAATATATAAATTTTGTTGATTGTAGATTTTAACGAAGGCAGCAAATAATGAAGTAATGGATACGGTTGATCCGGAGATATCGGAAACATGTAATGATTTAGGAGAAGTGAAGAAGGTTTTTCAGCTGGCTCTATTATGCACTAAAAGACAGCTAATGGAGAGGCCAACGATGCACGAAGTGGTTAGAGTACTAAGAACCCTTGTGCCTCGTGAAGATAAAAGTTCGACCGTTTTGCCCTCGGATCAAATTACATCGACGAAAGCTCAGTGTTACATGGATGAGTATGCAAATCTGAAAACTCCACACTTGGTCAATTGTTCATCCATGAGCACGTCGGATGCAGAGCTATTCCTTAAATTTGGGGAAGTAATTTCTAAGAATAGTGTTTAATGTAGTAAGAAATTAGAAATCAAGAATGTTGGGATAAAAGAAGTGATTATTGTAATATAAAAGGATCTTTTAGTAACCAACAATTATTGTAGTAAGTTGTAAAAAAAGAAAAAAATGGACATGCTTTTTTCTCTACCTATCAGAATTAAAAGCATTGCTTGCCAACAAATCATGTGTAAATTTAAATGTGCTGTTTTGATATTTATGGTAAGTAGGGTATTAGGGGACCTTAGTTTCGAATTCCGATTTCCAAGTGAAGCAAAATAGGTTGATGCGTTGTGGAATAGACCAGTGAAGCCCATGTATCGAAATATGCAACATAAACGTATAAAGAAATTTGAATATAATAGCTAGAATTTCAGAAAATATCACAAGGGTGATAACGCAATGAATAGCACACTAGTTTGGGAAAGATACTGGATCAAGTGCATTTTACGTAATTATGTAGAAACCGATAATTTCAACGAAGCTATCCGAACTTTGAAGGCTATGTCTGAACTTTGAAGAAAGTAATGATAACCCTCTTGTTGGGTGAGGCGCACATCGCGTGGACTGTGTCTGAACTTATTCCGTTCAAGATTAAAAGAGATCTGAGAAACCATATTCCGATTAGAATGCTACAAGTCTACATACATATGAAATGGAGAGTTTAAGATACATACCCTTCCTTGAGAGGAGAAAGTATGAAACCTCTTCTATAATTTCCTTTGCCGTCACCTAAAATCGTTCTACTTGTACCACCTAAAACCGTGTCACCAAAAGCCATTCTTGATTCAGAGAGGATTAAGATGGAAATAGGCTGGTCCAAGTGAGGCGGTTTCACAAAAGGATGTGAATATTCTCCCTGCACGATCAGTCACAAAACGATTTCCTTTATAGTATTCTTCAAAATAGACAATTTATGAGAGGGAGGGGAGGCAATTTATGTGAATTAATTAATTTATACCTCATCAAAGAAGTTAATTATGCAGCCATTTGGTCTCCTATCTTTTGGAATCCAATTCCGCTGAATTGCTTCCTCGATTAGACCTTGGAGAAGAGTAGGGATTGGCTCAATATACCCTGTAAAAGAAAAGAATATTACATGGTACGTTGATAGAAAAGCTCGATACATATAAAAAAAACATAATTTTGGGCATACTTGTCGGGAATTGGTTGGTTTCGTCTACTTTTATCAGCTCAAACATGGGAACCCCAAACTGAATGAACTCTCTATTCTTTCTTGTATGCTGGTTATATGAACCGAATGTCTCCCCTGACAAAAAATATAAGATTAGATAATCCAAGTGATAAGTACATAATCTGCTTGGCAAAATAAACAATATGTATGTTACCTGAGAGTTTGCCATTCTGACCAGCAACTCGTAGTTCATTGACAAAGTCATTCAATCTAGAGAGCTTTTCAACAGTGATTAAGTTTTCGTATAACTTGATACCTTTCATAAAACACTGCAATTCATAATATACCAACCATGCATCATCAAACATCATACATAATACTCATGCCTATTTTTCATCTACACAAGCAAAGCAATCAAGAAAAGAAACTACTTGCCATTTTCTCCTTTAATGTATATCCAATTTTCGTCCTGATATAAACACCACTATGTTTCCGCGACCCTGCATAAACTTTATAAACATGCAATATACGAAAAAAGTTACTACCAAACAGCAACTCTCAATTCAAACATGAAAAATACAGGCCAAAAGTTGGAATTCTGAATTTTAAATATAGAAATCTAATTTTGGGATTTACCTGCATCATTAATTAGATTTAAGCGTCGTATTTGATGAATGCTTCGAAGCATATCATCTAATTTATTTACTGTCTCTAATTCATGTTTCAGTACTTCCGAAACCGCTCGTTTCAGAAACTCCATTGCCGTACTCTGAGTTGCGTCCATTGTCATACTCATACCATCCGCCCTATATTCTTTTTCCTTAATGTTTATATATACTTCTCAAAAAAATAAATATATAGGGTAAATTACACCCGCACGCCTGAGGTATGCTTAAATAACTTTAAGGTCCCTGTAGTATCGATAATTACATTCACCCCTGAAACATAGTTAGACACTCTAATGGGATAATGCATTGGATACTCTATTTCGATAGAGTCCTAACGAACTATTACTTTTAACTAGTGGTGGAGACAACATATTAAATCATCCATAGCTCTTTGTTGTCTCCACCACTTCCTGAAACTAATAGTCCATTGAAATTCTATCAGAATAACGTATTCAATGTATTATCTCCTTAGAGCTTCTATCTATGATTTAGGGGTGTGAGTGTAATTATCGATACCACAAGGACCTTAAAGTTATTTAAGCATATCTCATGCATGTGGATGCAATTTATATATGTTAAAAAATTATTAATAGAGGAATATTCCATTTCCTTGATTGTGTAAAGGTTTTGATCTGCTGCACCTCAGCGCATGCAGGTTACTATGTAAAAATGGATTTACAAGCAAACTGTCACGTTTCTAGGGGCCTAATTTAATTAATTTACAATTTTACAAAAAATAGTTTAATTGTTTTATGGATTGTTATTGTATAAATTAATATACGACTGGGCCCGTTTTCGGCCTCCTCGTAAGAAAGTCAAAAAAATATATTATTTTATATTACACTTTTCGTCCTATATTATAGGCCAAAAATGGTTGTAAGTCCCTATATTTTTTCTTCCACAATTTTAGTCCTCGAACTAAAATCAACTTCAACCCATATTTACCGAGTTAATTGCATAGACCCCATGTGTTATTTCTCGGAAGCAGAAAACCCCCCCGGAAAAAAAAATTAGCATATAACCCCCTCTGTTGTGTTTTAGTCAGCCCACCGCCCCTTTGTGTGCACTGGCTCGTTGACTTAATAAAAAATCAAGCAAAAAAGACCCCAATACCCAAAATACGTATCCTAACATTTTCCCCCAAATCGTATCTCAGATTTTGCTTATCCAAATTATAGCCAGCCACACAATCTCTCACACCACACCATCAACTCTCAAAAACAAAACTATCTCACATCTCCGAACTGAAATTCGAAGCCCTAAAAAGAAATCGAAGCCCTAATTTTGAAATTGCATCTCTGAATCCCGAAGCCCGCAGAACCAGAAGATAGGAATGTAAGCGCTAGAAGAATTCTCGCCCATATATTAAAGAGGTTGGATTTTGATTTCCGAGTTTTTGCTGTTTTTAAGGCATGTTGAATCTCTGTTCATATGTTTGAAGATTCGTGGTAGTGGTCCATACATTGTCTGTTTTTTTTGGGATGTGTGGGTTGTGGTCCAATTTTTATTATTTTTTTATTGATTTTTTTTGTGTAAAACATGTGCTTGTTTGGAACTTCAGGGAACATGTGGGGCTTCTACACCATTTCTTTAATCAAGTTGATTCATTGTAGAATTTATGTTTTTTAGTGTTTGTATTAAACTTTTTAAAGCAGTGAACATGTGGTTAATTTTTTTTTTGTCTTTAACTGTGAACTCAGTAATGTATTTAAGTCTTATACAGTAATGTATTTAACATGTGGTTCAATTTTAACTGTTTAATTTTTTTGTCTTTAATTTAATAATGGAGATGAACATGTGGCCCAATTTAATAATTGAGTTTGTCTTTAAGTCACTGAACACTTCTTTGTATGCAGATGGAGAACCTTGTGACAGTGTCTCTTTGGCTAGATGGCACTTTTACACATAGCCCCAACTTGTCTTATGTTGGAGGAAGAAAGCAAGTGACCACAAGGATTAGCTTAGACTACATGAATATGGATTCACTATATGCGCTATATAGGTTCTGTGGAGGTAAAAAGTTGAATGTCACTTTCTATTTTCTGTACCCTGGTCAGTCACTTGAACATGGCTTAAGGCAGATTTTAAATGATGTTTCCATAGCATGGTTAGTGAGTGTGCATGAAGGCCTAGATCATTTGACACTGTACACTGAAGATACTGGTATATAGCCACTACTTGCAGTTGATAGGGATGGGAATGTATTAAGGGAAGAAGTGGAAATATTGTATTTGCAGCAAGGGGATGAAGAAGTACACTCTTCTGAAGCACCATTTGAAGAACCACTAAATGATGAAGAACCAAATGTTGAAGATCAAGAAGCTGAAGAACCAAGTATTGGAAATCAAGCAGCTGCAAAACCAACTGTTGAAGATCAAGAAGCTGAAGAACCAAGTGTTGAAAATCAAGCAGCTGCAGAACCAACTGTTGAACATCAAGAAGATGCAGAACCAACTGTTGATAATCAAGCAGATGAAGAAGCAAATGTTGAAAATCAAGCAGATGAAGAAGCAAATGTTGATTCTGAGGATGATGATTCTGCAGATGATGACTACATGCAGCCTGAAGATGCTACTTCAGATGAAAATGATGTACATTCAGATGTTCCAAGTGAGGAGTTAGATGATATTGAGGGCTCCTTTTATGATGATATGTTTGTGGATAGACAGTTCACTAAGCAAGACCTATTGAGGAAGTTAAGAAGAATGGGGAAGAATGCTAGGAGACCAAGTAAAAGACTGCATAAATGTCCAATTGACCAATCTGAATCCCAGTGGTACAGTGAAGCTGAAGATGATGATGTTGTTGATAACTTGGATGGTTGCAACAAATCTAAATGTCCAACATTCACTGAAGGGCAAAATATGAAGAACAGAGAGTTGGAAGTTTTGATGAAGTTTGGAAATATTGGTCTTTTCAGACAAGCCCTAACAGATTGGTTAGTCAGAAATGGTTATGAATTAGAATATGTGAAAAATGAAAGGAAAATGGTGACAGCAGAATGCAAAACTGAAGGCTGTAATTGGAGGATCCATGCCTTTGTTGTGCACGGTGGTCCAACATTTCAGGTACTATTGTGTTTCAAACTTATAATAAGTATTTTTTATTGCTTTTACTTTTGGCATTATGGTGTTAATGTTTCTTTCATTGCAGATCAAGAGCATAACTGGAGAGCACACATGTTCAAAAAAGAGAGTTAACATGCATGCATCTTCAAAATACATTGGACAGAGAATGGAACAAGCCATTAAAGACAATCCAGATGTCACTATTACCAATCTTGGAAATTCTGTGATGAGTAAGGTGGGTATAAAAGCTGGCTATTGGAAGACTTTGAGGGCAAAAAATGCTGCAATCAATAAAATTAGAGGGCTGGATGCTGAAGAATACACTCAACTCTGGATTACTGTGAGACTGTAAGAAGCAAGAATCCAGAAGCTAAGTTACTGCTCAGAAAGGTGTTATATTCAGACCCCCCTGTATTTGAGAAGATGTACTTCAGCCTTCCTGCAATGAGAATGGGATTTCTATCAGGGTGTAGGCCATTAATTGGGCTTGATGGGTGTTTTCTTAAAACAATTCATGGTGGGCAGCTGTTGTGTGCTGTTGGGAGAGATGGGAATGACAACTTTTTTCCAATTGCCTTGGCTGTGGTTCCAGTGGAGAACAGAGAAGCTTGGACCTGGTTCTTGGGAGAGCTGCTTGATGAAATTGGAGGTGTTCAAGAAAGAAAGTGGACCTTCATTTCTGATAGGCAAAAAGGTCTTCTTGAAGCAATAAAGGACCTTGCCCCCCGATGTGCTCACAGATTTTGTGTAAGACACATTTATCACAATTTCAAGCAAAAGTGGCCATCCTTGGAATTAAAAACAATGCTGTGGAGAGCTGCTTCAACAGGGAACAAGAATGAGTTTGAATCAAAGATGGTTGAACTAAGGAGATTGAACAAAGATGCAGCAGAGTACTTGGGAAAGATACCAGCTGAACATTGGGCCGGATCTTACTTTTCTACAAAATGCAGGTCTGATGTACTGGTCAACAATCTGTGTGAGTCCTTCAACAACTACATACTTGAAGCTAGGGAGAAGCCCATCATTAGTATGTTTGAATGGATAAGAACCAGATTGACAACTAGAATTCAGACAAAAAAGGCTGGTATGGAGAAGTATGCAGGAACTATCTGCCCTAATATCTTGAGGAAGATCAATAAGTCCCAGCAACTTGCAAGAAACTGTTATCCAAGGTGGTGTGGAAATGAGGAGTTTGAGGTGGATGCAAATGGTGTGAGATATGTGGTGGACTTAGCTAAAAGAGAGTGTACATGTGGCATATTTCAATTAAATGGATATCCATGTCCTCATGCCTGGTCTTGCATTGCAGAAAGAAGATACAAAGTTGAGGATTTTGTGGACACATGTTATATGAAGGAAAATTACTTGAAAGTGTATGCCTATATGATACATGCAGTCCCTGGACCCTGAGATTACTTGAAGACCACTTATGAGCCACTTCAGGCTCCAAAATACCAGGGAAAAAAAAAAGGGGGAGACCAACCAGATTAAGAAGGAAAGCTCCAGATGAGATTCATAGGACCTCATACAGGAAGGGTTTGACTCACACCTGTCAAAATTGCTTACAAAGAGGTCATAATAAGGGAACCTGCAAAAATCCTACAAATCCAAGGTCCAAACTTTATAAGGTAAGTGTACATATCATTGATTTCCTTATTCAGTTCATTGATTTCCTTATTCATAATAATACAAGTGCCATTATGGTTGTTTTCTTGTGCTAGGGAAACTCACCAAGTGAAGGAGTGCAAACCTCTCAAAGTGCCCCTCCAAGTTCTAGTCAAGAACCAGTTACTCCACATCCAACTGGACCTTCATATGCTGCAAATGCTCCTCCAGGATCCCTTCCACCCCATCCAAGTGGTCCTCCTTCTGGTCCTTTAGGATCTGTTCCAGTACCTGGCAGTGGTCCTCATTCTGTACCTCCAAGACATGATCCAGCACATGCTTCTGCCCCTCCAGGAAGGGTTAGTCTTTCTTTTATTCTTTCCATTGTTTGAACTGGTCATATTGCCTAATATTTGTAACTGTTTAATTGCAATTGTAGATATACCAAGGAAGAAGAAATGAGGCTTTACTAGGAAGAACCAAACAATTCAAGAAACCAAGGCCAACAAATCAAGCACAAGCAACTGTACCACCCTTAAGTCAAGCACAAGCAACTGTTCCACCTCCAAATCAAGCACAAGCAACTGTTCCACCTCCTACTGCAAAAACTGTTCCACTATCTACTTCAAATGCAACTTTTCAAGCTGGAAATTCAAGTCAAATTCATGTGCGCAAAAGAAAGCCTCAAATAGCAGAAGTCCTTCAGAATATTAGGAATGCTTCTAAGAAGAAGAGGCATTGGAAGCCTTGATCTATTGTAAAATTCTTTTAGTTGAATGTTTTTTGAATCTGTAAAAGTCCTTTTGAATTGGTGATTTTTTGATAAACTTGTGATATAACTCTAGATGGTCTTTTGATGAACTTGTAACACCCTTTTGCTGGTCTTTGTATGACCTTTTGACTTTTTTCTGTTCATGAATTTGTCAGTAGATGAATTTTGATATATTTTGATGAAATTGTATGTTGGTTTGTTATTGTTGATTTCATTGGATTGTTGTTAATTAAGTGTTACAGGGAGAAACATGTAAACATGGAGGAATTTACTACATACTTATAACACAGGGGGGTTTATGCTAATTGTTTACAACACAGGGTTTCTTTTGCTTATTTATAATTATACAGGGGGGTCCATGCTAATTAGTTAGTACAAATTCTGGGAATACAACAACCAAAACCAAAAGAACTGCAACATCACAAATTCGTAATAATACTTGAATACTTGAATATATAACATCAAATTGTCATTACAACATCTCAAACTCCTAATAATACTTGAATAAGTAACATCAAATTGTCATTACAACATCTCAAATTCCTAATGATACTTGAATAAGTAACATCAAATTGTCATTACAACATCTCAAATTCCTAATGATACTAGAGTAAATAACATCAAATTGTCAATATTACACTGATAGCAACAACTTGAACAACTAATACTACATTACAACTTATCAAAACAGGGTCATTCATAACAGCTTCAAATCTTCAGTAGCAGCACCAAAACAATTACAAACAATGCTACGCATATAGCCCATGAAATTTGCAGCATAAATCGATCATTTTTTTCAGTATCATTTTTTCAGTAGAAGCTTGTGGAATAATTTCGTCGGCTTCATCAAATTCATTGGGCAACGGTTGTTCCCAACTAGGATTTTCCCAACACTGATATTGTACCGCTCGAATTGGCTCACACCATTGAAAAAACGTGCAACGACGAAAAACACAAGAATAATACAACCTTCCCCTTGATGGCTTCATTACAGCTTCAACCACCCTTATACATGATTTCATGTGGCATCTACAAAATGGATTAGACGGATACCTCAGATCTAAGTGTGGCTGCCTATTCTGTGGCTCGCTTCTCCTCCTTGTCCCGCTGCTTGAGGTTTGAGATGACATTTTGTAGAAGAACTTTCTGGGAATTGGGGGAATTTCGAACCCAAATGAAGAGAAGCAGAAATTTTGAGAAAAAAAAAAACCCTAGAAGGCTGATATTTGGGAGAGAAGGGTTTTTATGTCTTTTCCTGTCCTAAAATGTCCTAAAACGCACGCCCAGCTGCATGAACCGCGAGTGTATCCCACAATTCGCTCGTAGGGTCCTTATTGTCATTGACTTCCTTTCATAGGGGGGTATTTGCTAATTTTTTTATCCGAGATGTTTTTTGCCAATTAGACATTTCACAGGGGAGCCGAGTGCAAATACCCCCATATTTACCTATATTATTAATTTAGCCTTGATGCCACGTCATTCCTACAATTTACCCCAAATTTCATTGCAATAATTTCTTGATTCATGCAATTATCATGTGACCTTACTTCGCCAATAAGGGAGAAATTAGAAAAAAAAAAAAAAAAAAAAAAAAAAAAAAAGAAAGGAATGTGAAGAACAGAATGTGTGCGATTTAAACTACATTAAGATTGGAGGAATAAAGTGAAATATGGGCTAAATTAAAAAAAACTAAAGATAAAAAGGAATTGAAGTCGTTGCAAAACACGCGACTTTCCCATCCAAATGAATACCCAAATGTAACGGCATACTAAAATTGAAGAAAACTTGTTAGTTTGAGGACTGAAATAGTGGGATAAATAATATAGAGACTAAAATCAAAATTGAAGTAATCATCCCCATATTTATACATAATGAATTGGCCTAACTAGGAACTTGACAAAATCCTCAATCAATCATTTACAAGAATTACGGGCAAGAGCTTGACAACAATCCTTATGTCCGGACTTTGAAGAAAGTAATAGTTATCCTTTTGATGGGTAAGGTGCACATTGCGTGCGTTGACTCTGAAATTTCTCCATTCATGACTAAAAAATGCCTGAGAAACCATATTCCAACTAGAATCAGATTGTTGTATAATTCTATACACGAGTATGAAAATGGATAGTTAGTTAATACATACCCTTCCGGGAAAGGATTAAATGTGAAACCTCCTCTATAATTTCCTTTACCATCAGCTACAATGTCACCGATAAGCTTGTGGCCAAAAGCAAGTTTTGATTTAGAGAGGAGTAAGATGGAAATAGATTGCTCCAAGTGAGGTGGTTTCTCAAAAGGATGTGAATATTCTCCCTGCATGATCGATCACAAAACGAAACGATTTCCTTTATATTATTCTTCAAAATAGACAATTTATTATTCTTCAAAATAGACAATTTATTCGAGGGAGGGAGGCAATTTACGTGAATTAATAATACCTCGTCAAAGAAGTTAATTCTGCAGCCATTCGGTCTCATATCTTCTGGAATATATTTCCATTGAATTGTTTTATCGATTAGATCTTGGAGTATAGCAGGGATTGGCTCAATATACCCTATAAAAGAAAAGAACATTACATGGTACGCCTGGTAGAAAAGCGAGATAGATACATATAAAATAAACATAATTACTTTTGGTTTCGTCTACTTTTATAAGCTCAAACATGGGAACACCAAACTGAATGAACTCTCTCTTGAATCTTGTATGCTGATTATATGAACCGAACGTCTCCCCTGAAAATATATAGAAGATTAGATCCAAGTGCTTTGGAAACAACCAAGGCCCAAAAAAAGAAACGAGAGCTCCGCATTCTCCGTAATCAAATTGAAAACTAACACAGTTTCCTAAACTATTTCAATTAATTATATAATGAAAAGTTTAACAAGGAAACAATACATAAATCAAAAAACTAATTTATTTTTTCCTGAAAACTTTTTCATTAAAGACTCAAGGAAG